CCCGGTGCCTTATCAGCCTCTGCCAGCTGCGGTGCAGGGGGGTTTAAAGGCGTTTCGAAAGCACCCTCGTTATTTTTAGGAGCCTGGGAAGTGAGTGCCTGGGTCAGGGCCCAGCTGAGGCTCACACACAGCAGCGGTGCCTGCCTTGCCAGGGAGAGCTTTCCCCCAGCACAAGGCTGTGGTCCCAGCTAACAGGACAGCAGCCAGGCTTCCCATTCCCTGCTTGAGCTCCCAGCCTCTGTGAGCATGTGCAGCACACCCTGATGTGATGTGCATCCTGACAGCGGCACATCCCAATAGCGGTGCGTCCTGATGTGCAGCGCATCCCGGTTGCGGGGCATCCCAATGGCAGCGCATCCTTACGTGCAGCACATCCCAATAGCAATGCATCCTGATGGGCAGTGTGCATCCTGAAAGCAGTGCATCTCGGCGGCAGTGCATCCTGATGGCAGCACAGTGCCTCCTGACAGCAATGCACCCTGATAGCAGTGCACCCCAATTGCAATGCATCCTAATGGCAGCACATCCTGACATGCAGTGCATCATGATGGCAAGGAAAATGTGCCTTTTCCAGGGCTCTGTTTGCATGGATTGTGCCACTGAAGCAGGCACCAGCTGGGCAGTGAAATGGGAACACGATGCTGGAAGCAGAGCATCATGACATAGAGGGCAGACACCTCTCAGGGATGAAATAGGGCATGAGGTTCTGGCCTTCCCACTGCATCCCAGCAGTACCTGGGGCCCTCTTGGGAGATGGAGTCGGGCTCAGACAGGGAAGGTGCTCATCTTCACAGGTATCAGCACCTGCCTGGCCAAAGCCTTCCATGAGTTCCTGCCAGAGAGAGCCTCAGATCCAAACCACCGGTCAAAAAGGGCGAGTGGCTCCTGTCCTGTTCCTTCACTGCCCACACAGCTGCTGGGTTTGGTGCGGAGAGAGGTGTCCCTTGGGATAACATCAGAGGAACCCTGGGGACCCAGGACCACCGCCAGTGAGTGGCTGCTGGAGGCGATGTGGCTTTTTCTGCCCTGTGAGGGTGCTGAGGCCCTGGCACAGGGTGCCCAGAGAAGCTGTGGCTGCCCCATCCCTGGCAGTGCTCAAGGCCAGGATGGATACAGGGGCTTGGAGCAACCTGGTCCAGTGGAAGGTGTCCCTGCCTGTGGCAGGGGGCTGGAACTGGGTGAGCTTTTTCCAACCCAAACCACCCTATCATTCCATGATTTCGGATCTGCCGTCAGAGCCTACGTGGATTTACCGGTGCCTAATAAAGGTTGTGTGCATGGTGTATTTTTAAGCACAGCAGGAGCATTAAGAGGGAGTAGCTTTCTGTCTTCTATTTAGCTGCTGATTTGCAGGAAAACCCTAGGATTTCACCACCTTTGCAACCTCTGCTGCTGTATCAGGCTTGGCAGGAACACACCCAACTTCCCAGGGAGGAATCACTGGGGCAGACAACGGGATCACGGGAAACCGAGTGACACGGAAAAGCTGGGCGGTGCAGGCAGAGCTATGGAAAGGGCTCCAGTGGCCCCCAGAGCCAAGTGCTCTTGTGGTTGCGTTTCTATGGCAGACTCTGCGAGTCCAGGGCTCTGCTGACACCTCATGAGGGAGGACAGGACCCCTCTCCAAAGGGATCACCCTGTACGCCCATGTGCGGTGGGCGTGGGGTGCACAGGTCCTTGGGCAGCCTCTTCCCCCAAGCCTCAGGGCTGCGGGTGCCACCGAGAGGGATGCTTTGGGGATGCTGCTGGGCTCAGACACGCGGCACGGGCTCCATGGGGGTGCCTGGGAGCCCTTTCCATGGGGAGCGGCCGGGCAGCCCCGGGGTGACGCCGGGCGCCCCGAGGGAGCGGAGCCGCAGCGAGTGGGTGGCTGCAGAGACAGCGCCGAGCCGGCGGAGCGGAGCGGAGCGGAGCCGGGGGGGGAGCGGAGGTATCGGTGGGGAAAGACAGGGAGACGCTGGGAGTGGCAGGGGCCGTGGGAGGCAGGGAGACAGAGCCCGGTGAGTCAGCGCGGTGGGTGCTGTGAAGCACAGGCAGGGCAGGTTCTGCCGCAGCCTGCGGAGCCCTCGTCGTCCCCCGACCGGCACCTTCTCCATCCCTCCTCCCCTGCGCGGCCGAGGAAAGCAGGACCGCGCTCCTCACCAGGGCTGCTTGCGGAGCCGCTGCTCGCTCCTGATGGGATAAAGCTGGCGTGGAGCCACGCTGGCTGCATCCGCTGCACTCAGGTAGTTCCTCATCGGACCTGCGAGCTGCCAAAACCTGGCTTGAAGCAGAGCTCTCTGGTGGCCGGGCTTGACCCCATAGCTGATCGCACAGGGGGGTGTTGCAGGAGTGAGCAGGGCAGTAGCTCTGCCACCCCAGTGATGCTCACCTACCCACTCCCCCGATCTCTGTAGCACCGTGGGCCAGTGTTCACCCAAACATTGCCACTGGAGATGCCATGCTTCCAGTGGGAATCTGGCCTCGGAGGCAACGGCACCCCTTCCAGCAACACACAGTGCTTCAGGTGTGCGATGGGGCACAGGGCAGGGTGAAGGAACCACAGAACCGTAGAATCAGTGAGGTTGGAAAAGACCTTTAGGATCATCTGGTCCAACTGTTCCCCAGCACTGCCAAAGGCGCCACTAAACCAGGTCACTGAAGGCCTTGTCTACACAGGCTCTGTTCTCCTCTTCTCTTCTCTTCTCTTCTCTTCTCTTCTCTTCTCTTCTCTTCTCTTCTCTTCTCTTCTCTTCTCTTCTCTTCTCTTCTCTTCTCTCTCTTCTCTTCTCTTCTCTTCTCTTTCTCTTCTTCTCTCTTCTCCCCTCCTCTCCTCTAATCTTCCCTCTTCTCCAGTTCCTTTCCTCATCCCTACACCCATGTCCTTGCCCCTAAGCACCTTCTATGTGCTATATGGACCAGGAAGAGGCTGGCAGTGAGAGAGTGTCCTCCCTCCCAAAGGGACAAGTCCCCCCGGCCCCATCGATCTGCTCCCCTGCGGGGTTAGTTTTGGGAAGGAGCTGGGTGCGATTGCGACAGCAACACATGGCTGATTCATTGTTTGATCCAATCTCTCCCTCCTCATTCCCAAATGATTCGAGTCAAATGAAACACATTTTAGTAGCCCAATCTGTAAGGGTGGGTCCCATTGTGCTCTGACCCTACAGGGCATTTTGTACATTTAATTTGATTTACACCCAAAACGTACTGGGATGCTCTCCCACACCCAACTAATGCTGAGAATTAAACAAGATCCTACAGCAAGGTCGGGTGCTATTATCTCCTTAGTGTTGTTATTTATTGAGCAATGATGGTGCTCAGGCTCTGTGGGTGTATGGAGAAGGCTGACGGCTGCCCCAGTGATGTGTCCATGGGCTGAAGACGACGAGGTGCTGCATGTGGGGCCATGCTGTGAGCATGCTCTTCCTGGTTGCAAACACCAAGGAGTGGTACTCTTAGGTGAGGTGTTATGGTTTTCTCCTGGGCTATGGTGAAGCAACAGCAAGACCTGGTCACTGGTCTGCATTTCCACCCTCTAGCTCAAGGGGAAGGCAGCCCGCTGCCGATGGGATGCTCTACTTCATGCTGCTGGGGGTGCTTCGGGTCTTGCTCTCCACGCTGTGCCTCTGATGGCGCTGGGCACACCACAGCCCTGACCACTCGTGTCAAGGCTCAGAGGTGATAATAACAGTGATCATCTAGTTCCTGATTCAGCCGTGCTTGTAAGTGCATGTCTGGGTTGGAGCACTCAGAGTGAAGTGTGTGCTCCAGGACCTCGCTAAATGGGAACCTCAAAGCAGGGTTTGCAAAAGCCCAGACGACATTAAAGTGGTCACAGCAAGCTCTGGGTTCAGGAGAGTTGTGATTGATGTCGTTTGCTACCTCTTTTGGCTTAAAAGACAAGGAGTGGTTAAAATGAAAGAAACCTCAAGTTGAAAGCATTGCAAAAAAAAAAGGAATCAATTAAACCCCATGTAGCTGCATTTTGACCTGGAGCAAAATCTCAGACATAACAGAGAAATTGCATAGCCTTAAAAAGGGAGAAAGACAGAGAAGGTTTTACGTGTGATACTGCTGAGGTATTGCCCAGAGGCAGCTGAGGTGGCTTCTCACCTGGTACCTGATGAGAGGCTGCCCAGAGAAGCTGTGGCTGCCCCATCCCTGGCAGTGTTCAAGGCCAGGTTGGACACAGGGGCTTGGAGCAACCTGCTCTAGTGGAAGGTGTCCCTGCCTGTGGAAGGGGTTCGAACTGGATGAGCTTTAAAGTCCCTTCCAACCCAAACCAGTCCGGGATGGGGCAGCCACAGCTTCTCTGGGCACCCTGTGCCAGTGCCTGAGCACCTTCATGGTGAAGAATTTCTCCCTAATGTCTCACCTCAATCTCCCCTCTGTCAGGTTAAAGCCATTCCCCCTTGTCCTGTCCCTACAGGCCATTGTCAAAAGCCCCTCTCCAGGTTTCTTGTAGCCCCTTTAAGCACTGAAGACTGTCATAAGGTCTCCCCTGCGCCTTACAACCCTTTCATGTGGGGTGACAGCTCTTGGTGCTCAGTCCCAGCGCTGTGCACAGCTGCTACAGTGAGGATGTGCTGGGGATGAAGGCACTGAGCGCATTTCCACTGCATTTAGTGATAAAAGCAGACAGAAGAGTAGGTGTGAGACAGGAGAATGGACCTCGGGTGCTGTTTAAGCCGTGGGGACGCGCCATGTGCTGTGCTCAGAGGCTTGCAGTGCACTTTTGTGGGTTTTCTTCTGTTTCTCTTGCTTCCTTCCCCTCCACCCCGTCCATCCTCTCGTCTTTTGTTTCATTTCCACTTGGGGAAGAGGGGAGAGGACAAGAAGCAAATTAGAAGGACAAAAAAAGGGGGGGGGGGGGATTGGGGGTGGTGATGGCTGAGGCACGGTTTTCATTTCAAACCAATGACCGAAGCAGAATAAAGCGCTGGGTTTCTAACAGCAGAAAGCCTTGTCATGAATCGACCAACTTTCTCTGCCCGACAGCTTCGTCTTCTCCCATGTGCCTCGGGGATCCTTTCCCGTGCTGGGGGGGGGGGGGGTCCCCCGGTGCACCCCGGCAGCAGCGGCGCTGCCCTCCTCGCTTCCCTCTTTTTAATTTCCAGACGTTGAATTCTTCTGCAAACATTCATGCCTTAGGAAGGGCTGGAACAAAGCTCAGCTGCTCCAACCGGTCCGACAGGTAAGCAGACTTGTTGACACCGTTATGTTGGCAGCACGCATGCTCCTGCCCAAGTTTCCTGGTGCATTTTTCTATTCCACCTTATGAAACTTGCCCCCCCCCCCCCCTCCTTCACCCCCCCTTTCTCTTCCCCCTTCCCCTCCCCTTCCCCTCCCCGCTCCTCAGCGGCTCTGCCCCGGTGCGTGCGGTCCCGCTCCCCGCGGACGGGCGGGCGGTGGGAGCCGCTCCGCTCCGTTCCGCTCCGAGCCGACCCCCCCCCCTGCCCTCGCCATGCCCAGAGCCTTCCTGGTGAAGCGCCGGAGCCCGCAGCCGGCGGTGCGCAGTTGGGATGGGCTGCCCGACGAGGAGAGAGCCGACACCTACATCCCAGGTACGGCACCGGAGGGGCCCGGAGCCGGCACCGCACCGCCTGGAGGATGGGGGGACGGAACACACGGAGGGGAGGGATGGGGGGGTCCCCGCCAGACCCCAGCCCTAGCCCCGCTCCCCTGCGGGGTGGGAAGGGGCTGGGGGAGCCCCGAGGGGGGTTGTGGGGAAGGTCCGGGGGGACCCTCCGTGCCCAGGCGCAGGGGTGATGGGTGACGGGGGCCGGCTCCATTCCCGCTATCATCTCCCACCCGGGGAGCCCCCCGGGCATTGGGGGTGTCTGTGTGTGTCCGGGAAGGTGGGAAACCTCGTTTGCATGAGAAAGGTGGCGGGGGGAGAGGAGCAGAAGAAAGGTCCTGGTGTAGGGGGGTGATGGTTTCCCCCTCCTCCTTCTCCTCCTCCTCTTGCCCTTGCCTGGGGTATAACGGGAAGGCGGCGGAGCTGGCTTGTTTGAACTTTGGGACCGTTCGTGTTTGAGTTTCCGATTGCAGCGGGAGCCGGGGATCCTCCCCCGCCGCCCGGGCCCGCCCGCAGGTTAAACACCGGTGCCCGGCGGCTCCGTGGTCCCGTCCCCCCCCCCGTCTCCCCCCCCCATGTCCTCACCGCATCCCCCCGCTGCAGGCGGGATCGGCTGCGTGCTGCTGGGCTACGAGGACAGCTGCAGCCTGGAGAGCAGCGGGAGCAGCGGCACCCGGGACGCGGAGCCCAGCGATCCCCCGACGCCACAGCCCGTCCCCGGCGACCTGGGCACGGCCGGGGGGATGCTGCTGGACCTGGCCGTCAAGCGCCCCGTGGCCAGGTCGAAAATCAAGGTAACCAGGCACCATCTCCTCCCCGCTTCAAGGGCTGGGGACGCTGCGTGGCAACAGTCCCTTGGGGTCCCTCTGCTCTAGAGGTGACAGCACCCATCCCACACACAAGCCTCATAAGCGATGTACCGTCATCTTCCAGTGCCCTTTGCCTTTCCTTATATCCCTGCCTGGGACATGTTGCCCCTGACCTGCTTGGCTTGGGTCCCGCAGGAGCTCTGAACCCATCCAGGAAGGACCAGCCCTGGCAGCTGGGAGTCCTGCCCCACGGCGCCTGGGTGGATTGCACTCCTTCAAGTGGGGCCTCCTTAAACGGCCGCCTGCGAGGTTGTAGTCAGGCCTTAATCTTCCCGCTGCCCCCCTACCCTCTTGGCTTGTCAAGATAGCAGCTAGGAAAAGGTCCTGCCCTGGAGCTGGGAAAGGCCATTGCCACCTTGAGGTGGGCCCACAGGCTGGGTGAATTGAAGCAATTAGCTGTCCATTAACTGCTGCAGAACCTCCCTACTGCATGGGCAGGAGTTCTTGCTGTCTGGGGGTCCCCTGGGCACAGCCAGCAGAGCGGTGATTTCCCTTCCCAGGCTGGGAAGGCAAATCATAACCTGGTTTGGGTTGAAGGGACCTTACAGCTCATCCAGTTCCAACCACCTGCCACGGGCAGGGACACCTTCCACTAGACCAGGTTGCTCCAAGCCCCTGTGCCCAACCTGGCCTTGAACACTGCCAGGGATGGGGCAGCCACAGCTTCTCTGGGCACCCTGTGCCAGGGCCTCAGCACCCTCACAGGGAAGAATTTCTTCCTAATGTCTCATCTCAATCTCCCCTCTGTCAGGTTAAAGCCATTCCCCCTTGTCCTGTCCCTACAGGCCCTTGTCAAAAGCCCCTCTCCAGACTCAAATCCCTCCTGATACCCAAGACCGAGCTCCCAAAGCGCGGTAGTGATGCAGGTAGGGTGGAAGGACCACTGTCCTTCTCTTGAACATCCTCAGCAGAGGCCACCCCTGTGCTGGGAAGGAGACATGTTTACCTGTGGCTAGTTAACACCTCGTTAAAACCCTGGCTGTTGCTTTGCTGGATGGAGCTGCAAAAACTCCCACTGTCTCTGCTGGGATGACAGCCCCATAGCCACCCTGTTATTAATCTAATGGTTAAAACTAGGTTTTCACCCTAGTTGTATGTGGCCACTTGAGATGGAGCCCTACCTGTTGCCTAACAGATACTTCCCAGCTGCTCCCCCTCTGGTTTCACACCTGGTGGTTTCATGGCTGGCTTCTTTCTCTAACCTCTACAACTTCAAGTAGTGTTGCTTTGGTAGTAAGCGGAGGAGGAGGATCAGGAAAAATAACTGGCTCTTCAGGAAACAGAAACCCCAAACGTATTCCTTTGGGAAGAGCCTTAACCTATAATTTAACCTGGGCTATTAACTGTCACAGCGAAACCTCCTTTTGGCAGAGTTGGGTTTTCTCAGCGTGCCACAGAAACTCCCCAAACACACCACGAGGGCCAATGGGTGCGTGTGCATGATGCTGTGCTCTGGTGGCTGCCCATGTCCTGAGCGTGTCTGCTCCTCCTCGAGTAATTAGACTAATAGCCAAGTATTTGCATCGTGGAGACATTAAGCCTTCCCTCTGAGGAACGCTCTTCCCAAGAGCTGAATCATCAGTGTCTCCCTTAGTCAAGTTAGGTCATGGTGTATGTGCAATGTATTTTGGTGTCAGGAGCGGGAATGAGGAGAGTAACCCCTAATGACACTGCTGTTAATCAATGAGACCAACGGGAGGAGGGTAATCATCGAATCATGGAATGGTTTGGGGTGGAAGGGACCTTAAAGCTTATGGATGCAGTTGGACAAGGGTGCCTGCTCCTAGGAGGTAGCCACTACATAGTCTTAGCTTTAGCATTAGTCCCAAACCGTGCACTGTAAGTCACCCACTTGACCTCAAGGGAAGCATGAAGGGTTCACCCAGCAAGAGTCTCCAAATGCTTTCACTTTTCATTCTGAATACATCCCAAGAATATCTTAATGCCACAATAAGTCATCCCTCCTTGTTTTGCTTGTTGCCTGCTGGTCTTTGCCACCTCGATGCCCACTCACCCCGTCCTCTCCCATTCCTTAGTTCACCACCGGCACCTGTAACGATGCTATGGTGCATAGCTGCGAGCTGTGTGGCAAAGGCTTTCGCCTGCAGCGGATGCTCAACCGTCACATCAAGTGTCACAGCCAGGTGAAGAGGCACTTGTGCACCTTCTGTGGGAAAGGCTTCAACGACACCTTCGATCTGAAAAGACATGTCCGGACCCACACTGGTGAGAACGCATTCCCGGGGGGGTTCTGGGCGGCTCTGGGTAGCGGGAGGTGGGAGAAGGGTGAGATGGGATGAGGAGAAGGTGAGGGTAACCCAGCAAGACAATAATACAAATACATTAGCAAAGAATAGAGGGGATGTAGTGGAGGAAAGGGAAAGATATGAGTGTGGACAGATATAAGTCCTGGGACTAATAAAGTCTGATGACTTCTCTGAATCATACAATCCCAGATTGATGTGGGTTGGAAGAGACCTTAAAGCTCATCCAGTTCTAACTCCCTGCCACAAGCAGGGACACCTTCCACTAGACCAGGTTGCTCCGAGCCCCTGTGTCCAACCTGGCCTTGAACACTGCCAGGGATGGGGCAGCCACAGCTTCTCTGGGCACCCTGTGCCAGGGCCTCAGCACCCTCACAGGGAAGAATTTCTTCCTAATGTCTCATCTCAATCTCCCTTCTGTCAGTTTAAAGCCATGCATGAAATCCATGTGAGGCAGGGTGGGTGCCTGAGCTGCCATCCAGATATGCTGTAGATGCAGCTGTATGCTGCTGCTGTGCTGGTCAGCGAGACCAGGTTAAGCCTCCCGATATAACCCACTGGGTTAACTCACCGTGTGTTACTGCAAGTCCAGCCTGCAGCGCTGAGCAGAGGCGGGCGGTGCATGAAAATGCTTTGCCCTCTAGAGGCAATGAGCAGCAGTTTCTTGGGGTTTTGCTCTTGGGAAGCTTCCCTGCTGGCTGGCCACCGGGATGGGGTTATGGCTTGATCTTGGTACCAGCTGAAGGAACCGGAGTGTGGCTCATGCTGTACCTCCAGCTTCTTTAGGGCAAGCAGGCACATCTGACTTGTGCATCCTCCATGCTTTGGGCTAACAGCTCCTCCAGTCCTTTCCCTGAGCTGTTTCCCTCTGCAGATCTAGCCATCCAGGTTTGTTTGACCACTGGCCTAAACCATCTCCACCACATTTCCTGGGCAGGTTACAACTTGCCAGATCTGTGGTTACCTGCTGGTTACTTGGGCTCGCTCTGCAATGCCTGTATTTTGGCTTAGGCACCATCAACCAGGCAAACTGCTGGAGATGACACAAGTATTTTGTCATAGAATCCCAGACTGGTTTGGGTTGGAAGGGACCTTAAAGCTCATCCAGTTCCAATCCCATTGCCATGGGCAGGGACACCTTCCACTAGAGCAGGTTGCTCCAAGCCCCTGTGTCCAACCTGGCCTTGAACACTGCCAGGGATGGGGCAGCCACAGCTTCTCTGGGCACCCTGTGCCAGGGCCTCAGCACCCTCACAGGGAAGAATTTCTTCCTAATGTCTCATCTCAATCTCCCCTCTGTCAGGTTAAAGCCATTCCCCCTTGTCCCATCCCTACAGGCCCTTGTCAAAAGCCCCTCTCCAGATTTCTTGTTGACCTCTTTAGGCACTGGAAGCTGCTCTAAGGTCTCCCTGAAGCCTTCTCTTCCCCAGGCTGAACCAGCCCAGCTCTCTCAGCCTGTCTGCAGAGCAGAGCTGCTCCAGCCCTCAGAGTATCTCCATGGGCCTCCTCTGGACTTGTTCCAAGAGCTCCATGTCCCTCTTGTGTTGGGGCCCTGGAGCTGGACACAAGACTGCAGGGGGAGGTCTCACCAGAGCGGAGTAAAGGGGGAGAATCCCCACCCTTGGCCTGCTGGTCACGCTCTGGGGATGCAGCCCATCACACGCTTGGCCTGTGTTGGTTGGCAGGAACTGATTCTTAGCAGTAGAGCTCATGAAGACAATGCCACTGGTTTCGATGGGAAAGCACTGGCTGCAGCACATGTTTTGTGCTGGTTTGGTTTGTTTGCAAGTCTGTCATGTCCAAAGGAAAGCTGCTGTTGCAGCAGGGAGCTGCTGCTGTGGTACACTTGAAATGTGGAGTTGGTGCTTCTAAAGTGAGTTTTCAACCTGTTCCCTCATCCTTTGCAATTCAGAAACTGAATCCCAGAGAATTTGCCTGGTTCGTTGGGTCATGGAGGGGTAAAGGCTTGGCTACTGCAGCAGTACCAGTGATGGATTGGATGCATCTTTCCCAGGGTGAAATATGGCACCTCTTAAAGTGGTGTGGCTCCTTTTATTTCAAAGTTGATCGCTGTTCAGGAAAGCTGGGCAGTATTTGAACATGAAAAAGCAGACAGGCTGGAAGTGGTAGGGCAGGCTTTATTTTGTAGCTACAGGCGCTCATCTACGTGTGCTCTGCTGAATTCCAGGGGAAATTATTATGCAGTTTGTAACCAGACTGTGCAACAGCATCAGAGAGTGGAAGCCAAGCGTCCCAGTCTAGCCTGATGGTAAAAGCAGACTTAAACATTAAGAACTAACTAATATACACAGTAAAATAAAGGTTCAAAATGATAAAAGTAATGACAAGGTTCCCACAGCCCTCTTGTGCTTGTATTCATGCCTGTGGAGCTCTGTTGGCAGCAGGAACCAAGGACAGTGGTTCAATTTGCCTTCGGATGAGCATGAAACTGCTCCCAAAATACTGTTTGTGAAAGAGGCATCTTTGTGTGTGAATTCTAATGAAGACTTGGAGTTTCTTTCCAACTGCATTTTGCTGTGACTGAAGCAGTCTCACAGCAGTAAGCGTTATAAAACTTTAATCCTGATATTTTAAGCTGGTGCAATGGGATAACTGCAGTTGAGATGCTGCTTGTTGGAACCTCTAGTTTGGATTTCTGGTTGGAAGCTCAACGACAGAGTGGTGACCTTAACACAGTGTGATTAGAACGTTACATCTGTCAGCATGGGTGTGTGTGCTTTGCCCTTTCTTGCCTGGCTCATTGTAGGGCTGATCTTCCACATGCTCGTCTCACCTTTTATTGAGAAAAGAGTTCAGGTAACTCCTTGCATCAGTTTTAAGGCTGGCCTTAGCTTGAAAACTCACTGGGCTAGTCCAGTAAGTCAAATCACAACTGGTTTTGTTTTTTAAAGCATTGCTAAGCCCTCAGTTGTTTGTCATTCAAGTACTGGGGGTTGCTCTTAAGTCATGTTGGTTGGTGGTAAATGGGTACTGCTAAGTCTTTTTGTAATGTTGGTTGTCTGTACTCAGCAAAACTCCTTGGACACTCAAACTGCAAGCCAGCCCCTTCTCTCTCTTCTGGAAACAGACATGTACTTCTGTCTCAATGCACTTCTCATCTGGAACTCGAGCTTGTCATCTCAGTCATCAAATCCATACGTTACGAAAACACTCTCACTCATTTTAAGTACTAAGATTGCTGTGTGTTCGCGTTGGGCTGCCCTTCACTGAGGCTTGGTCACTAAAAGAGGAAGATAAACATCTGACTGAGATACTGTGTTCATTATAAAAGCCAAACAAAGGCTGGCTGAAACCGATGGTTTTACCTGATGACTTCAAAAAGTCGAGTCTAAAGGAGCCAGTTTTGCAGAAGTTGATAACAATTTCTTCTTTAGGAGCAAGTGCTGATGGGCACCTGCTGTCCTCAGTGTTTGCCTATACCTGCTCCAAACTTCTTGAGGTTTCCTGTGCCTAAACACATCAACCCATTCCTTACAGTTTTAGCCTGAAAGTAACATATTTTATTTGGACAGAGTTCCTCAGGCTAGTAGCTCCCTGCTGGTAGGTATTTGCTCAATATCATAGAATCAAGGTTAGAAAGACCTTTAAGATCAAGCATTCCTCAGCACTGCCAAGGCCACCACTAAACCGTGTCACTAAGGGGCTCATCTACACGGTTTGTGAATGCTTCTATGGACAGTGATTCCACCACTGCCCTGGGCAGCCTGCTCCGATGCTTGACTGCCCTTTTGGGGAAGAAATTGTTTCTAATATCCTCATATCGAGTCTAAACCTCCCCTGGTGCAGCTTGAGGCTGTTTCCTCTTGTCCTATCCCTCGTTCCTTGGGAGAAGAGACCAGTCACCTCCTGGCTCCATTGTCCTTTCAGGTAGTTGTAGAGAGTAAATATTGGCTCAATATGGTGAGTGAGCCAATAGGTTCAATGAGTATTGAGTTCAATTGGTTCAATGCCAGAGCCTTGCTCTCAGCTGGTTGCTCACTTGGTTTTAAGAAACATAAATCAGAATGCTAACCTCTGTCTCTTAACATTGCAGGGATTCGTCCTTACAAGTGTGAGGTTTGCAACAAAGCCTTCACCCAGCGCTGCTCCCTGGAGTCCCACCTGAAGAAGATCCACGGCGTGCAGCAGCAATATGCCTACAAACAGAGGCGAGATAAACTTTATGTGTGTGAAGACTGCGGCTACACGGGCCCCACGCAGGAGGACCTGTACCTGCACGTTAGCAACGTGCATCCTGGAAGCGCCTTCCTGAAAAAGACCTCAAAAAAACTGGCGGCCGTGTTGCAAAACAAACTGAGCCCCGTCTTGCAGAGGAACTCCAAAGATGATGACAAAGATGAGTAACACAATGGATTACAGTGGTCTAAAGGAATGAAGTTTACATGTAGGACTTTATATATATATTATTTTTTTAAAGCAATTTGGAAAGGAACCCCTGAGATGAAAGGGATGCTTTTGCTAACGGGGCTCTCTTGATGTTGGTAGAACCTCAACTTGAAAGAAATACTCTCCTATACAATGCGAGCATCGGACGTTTTTATCTGGCCAAAGGAAATGGAAAGCTTGGAAGAGGTTGTCACCTCTTGGATGGAGTATTTTCTGAACTGAACCAGGCAACCTGTCTTCTGTTTCGACTCTACCACACATCCAAGAGGCCACTGACAAATAATTTGCCTTTACCCAGTGTATTTTGTAAAGATAATAACCATTACCTCCTGTGCAAATGACTTCTGAGTTTTGAGTGAAAAGTGCCGTGTAAGTGCAGCTACTCATGCATTGTTCTATGCAAAGTTAATTAAAATGGTCTTAAGGAGTGCATTGTATGGGTAAATAGTTAAAATGTGCAAATAACCATAACGCTGCCCTGTGCAGAACACTAATGATTTATGGAATGGGTGATCCAAGGTAAGCTGAAACTTCTTTGAAAGGATGCAGAGCTTTTTCCTCCCAAACTTTCTCCACTGGCAAATGACATTATCCTAGGGCAGACTTACGGTCATGCTTTAGGTACCTGAAGCTGTGAACTTACTTTTATCATGTTTAGATTTAAGTGTAACCATAACTCTGATGTTCCTGGACTTCTCACGCTCACTCTGGGGGGCTATTCCCACATCCTTTTAACATACATCAATACTACCCAGAAACCCAAAGAGAACGTTTTAATGACTTGAATATTTGTATTTTCTGTTGGGATGAAACGCAGTTTTGCGTGTATTTTATGGTGTATATGTGCATGTGTGTGTGTCTTTTCTCTGACCAAGTGCCTGTTCACTAACAGGAGCAGTGCAATGTAGTGAAAAGGGCAGCTTGGCCTGTCTCTGCCTCATAAGATCAGCTGTAGGCAGGAATCTGGCCTCTCACCTGTAACCACCACCAGTTTAGAAGGCTCCTAGAGAGGTGGATGCTACAAGGGATGGAGATGGTGGGGGTGATGAGGGACCTGTATTATATCTCTGCGCTTTTAGAGTTCCCCTATGGTCCTGCCCCAGCTGCTCCAGGACAACCAAGCAGGTAGCCTATAGGGACTATCAAGTGTGAAATTATGGATTTAAAAACAGAGGAGAGGGATGTCCGTATACCTTATGTTGCCTGACACTTTAAAGCTCTTCAGAAGCTGCTGCAGCCTTTACTGAGCACTTGGGTGAACCCACCACAGGGTTCTCTGGTCCAAGCACATTATGCATCTGTCTCTTAATGGACACAGCTGCTAAAAACGTTTTACATCAATTTAAATGCCTATCAATGAATGAATTTCATTTGTAAAGTCCTCAAATCCATTTTGTGCTCAAAATAAAGCTGTACATTGGGAGAGGATATGCTGTATTCTATAGATGTTGAAACAAGAGCTAAAAAGCAACCCACCTAAAACAAGAGTCATAGCCAGGACCTTTGTAGTCCTTGCTACTAAAATGATTATGAACATCTCTGCAAGAACCATAAAGATCTCTCAACTGCCTCAGTTTTGTACAGGCATCTGCTTGGGGTTTTGTGGGGACAAAGTGTCTAGTGTTTTTAAAGCATTTCTAATGATACCAGTATTTTATCCAGCACAACTGCTGGTGCTTGGGACCTTGAAAGCTAGGATGGTAAAGTAATGCTACTTTGTAACAAACAAACTTGTCATCCTGTGTCATGGGAAAATCAGCAGGCTATTTTAATAAATGGGAAGTCCATGTTAAAAAAGCATCTGAGCTAAATTGTTCAGCCTGGAGAAGAGAAGGCTCTGGGGAGACCTTAGAGCAGCTTCCAGTGCCTAAAAGGGTGAACAAGAAATCTGGAGAGGGGCTTTTGACAAGGGCCTGTAGGGACAGGACAAGGGGGAATGGCTTTAACCTGACAGAGGGGAGACTGAGATGAGACATTAGGGAGAAATTCTTCTCTGTGAGTGTGCTGAGGCCCTGGCACAGGGTGCCCAGAGAAGCTGTGGCTGCCCCATCCCTGGCAGTGTTCAAGGCCAGGTTAGACGGGGCTTGGAGCAACCTGGTCTAGTGGAAGGTGTCCCTGCGCGTGGCAGGGGGTTGGAGCTGGATGAGCTTTAAGGTCCCTTCCAACCCAAACCAGTCTGGGATTCTATGATTCACCTGACTGCAAAGGATGCATGTACTTAGCTCTGCTGAAACCTCAGCTTTTTCACTGGAGCAGTGGAGGTGCAGCTGAAGCCCTCCCTGTCTAACTGGAGATGCATTTATATGCGTGTGTGGTTTTTTCCTCCTGTAGCAGACATTGCTTCTGATTTCCCTCCAGTGTCACTGCCAAAGCATGTCCCTGCTAAAAGAACTACAGCCACCATGAGGTGGCCCATCTATGTGATCTCAGCCAAAGGAAACATTCACAGCAGCAGAGAAAGCAGCAGGTAAAAGCACACAGAATTAAAGCCACACTAGATAGAGAGCAGAGCTCTGACAAGCAGGGTGCTGTAGCTGGACTAACTGCCCTGATGGGCTGTTTTTTTCTGCAGAAGACAGTTACTGCCTGTAGCAGATGCCTTGGGCATGTCAATTTAACAGTCTGGCAAGTTAGTTTAAACTGGTCACAAAGTGGTTTGGTTTTGCATGATGCTGGCGACAGCCATCTGCCAGTGCTGTTATGGGGCAAAACTGGCACAAGCGTGTGACTCCAGAGAGATGCTCCAGAGCTCACACAGGGACGCCCAAGGCAGACACTTTCAGAAGTGCCAGACCTAAGTAACATCCACTGGTGTCTTTGAAGCCTGTCTGCCTTCTCTAGGCTCTCTGATGGTACAGACTCATCCAGGACTTAAAGACAGGTTTACAGGGTGACATTGCCAGTGAAGCTGGAAGCCTTCCTCAGACAAGGCTTTTGTTAAACAAATTAACACAGGTGAAACCTACAGGAATCCACACTACCCAGGCTCCAGACTTGTCCTTCTTTCCTAGGAGGCAGGATGAGGCTGAAATCTTGTGTGGATCAGAGACACCTAATGGCTGTATGCTCACAGAATCAACTAGGTTGGAAAAAGACCCTCAAGATCATTCAGTCCAACCGCCCCCAGCACTGCCAAGGCCACCACTACAAGATGTCACTGGGGCCTTGTCTACACGGTTTGTGAACACTTCCAGGGACAGTGAATCCAGCACTGCCCTGGGCAGCCTGTTCCAATGCCTGACTACCCTTTGGGGAAGGAATTGTTCCTAATATCGAGTCTAAACCTCCCCTGGTGCAGCTTGAGGCTGTTTACTCTTGTTGTGTTCCATGTTCCTTGGGAGAAGGGCCCAGCCACCTACCGACCAGCTCCATCCTCTTTTTCAGGTAGTTGTAGAGTGATAAGGTCCCCCCTGAGCCTTCATTTCTGCAGAGTAAACAACGCACTGATGCTGAAGGTAACCCCCACCCAAATATTGCCCAACTGTTCCACACTCTCCCCTCCACTTATCCAATCCCAATCAACCCAGGGAATACAGCATGTTTTATTACCTCCTGCTTCTGCACAGGCCATCTCACCTCTTGCTTATGTCCACACTCTTTGCATCCATGGAGCTGTCTCTCACAGAAAATTGACCATGTTCAGTGATGTTGAAACACCCACTCGCTACAATTCTGTGATGTGGGAAGAGACTTGCAGAACAGGTAGAACTCAGCATGCAACGCAGCATTGCTGTGGTTAGTCACCTCCGAACCCAGTGTCTCAGTCTCCATGGCTAGTCTTTTTAGACAGAAATCTAATTAAGCTCAGAGTAATCATAACATCACCAGACTGGGTTTGAATAAGCAAGCACCAGTAAGTTTCATTCCATAGGTTTCCATAGTTCATTACTCTGGAGCAGCAGCGGTTTAAGCACTATGGAGATCTGTATTTCTTCAGCAGCAAGCCTGGCCACTGAGGTTTTCAGATATGGTTTTGGCTGATTTCCTTGAAGCTGATGGGTTGGTCATATTATTTGTAATCTGCAGTGGTGAAAACTCACACACAGCATTCAGAGAAAATAAAAAGAAGGAGGAAAAAACTTTCCAGGTGTGCAGCACACAAAGCAGTACTGCCTGACATTACCAAGGCTTAATCTGTGTCTTAGAGATTCGATTTTATGAAACAAGCTTCAAAAGAGACTTCTGTTTCCAGAACACTTATTCAAAAACTTATTTGGAGAAAAACCCCAACCAACACAAAAGCCTCAAAAACACAACCCCCCAAAACCCAACCAGCAGCAGCTGGTTCCTCAAAAGGCCCAGCTTCAAAGTCATCAGCCCGCTTTTATAAAGGAGCTTAGTCACAGTAGCAAACACTGTAACTTCACACTGGAGATCGTTCCACACCGGTGGGTCCCTCGTCAGCTCAGATCCACAGTGATGTCAGGAGAACTCAAGGCAGTTGCAGCCTTGGCCTGCACAAAGCCTCACATCCTGATGTACAAAGCCTGTCTACTCTCTGACAGTTCTGCAGAAGGAGCCATTGTAAGCAGGCAAACCTTTCAGAACACTTCCTGTATTGGTTACAGTTCTGCTCCTCTTCTGATAAGACACTCAGAACCACAGACTGGGTTGGGATGGAAGAGACCTTAAATAGCATCCACTTCCAACCCCTGCCATGCGCAGGGACACCTTCCACTAGACCAGGTTGCTCCAAGCCCCTGTGTCCAACCTGGCTTTGAACGCTGCCAGGGATGGGGCAGCCACAGCTTCTCTGGGCACCCTGTGCCAGGGCCTCACCACCTTCACATGGAAGAACTTCCTAATTTCTAATAAAAATCTACCCTCCATCAACTTAGAGACTTACCCTGTCATACCTGCCCTTGTAACACCTTTTAACACTTCTGTTAAATGACCACTTGCCTGAGTATTTTAAATAAGTGCTTACTACAACTTTGGTTCTAATTCCTAGCACAGTTTTTCCAGTTGTTGCTGTAAGAAAACCCACAAATAGCAACAAGCCTGTTAACAGATACCTTTGAGATGAGCAAGAACTAAGCTGACTGAAACCCAGTCTGCTATATTCATTTGTTTATCATTTGCATTTCTCTCAGCTCAAGACAATGCAGATGTCATTTTGCTTTAGTTCACTAACTTCATTTTCAAAGCCTCAGTTCCACAACAGTTGGGTTTTTTTTTTGTCTCAAAAATGACAAAAGAAGGATGACTTGATTAACTTTTTTACTTGATAACAGAAACTTTCCTATCAACCTCAGGCTGTATAAACTATGAGGGGAAAAGCAGAGATTAATAAAGTTGACTTTGACCTGGCTTGTCCACTCCAGTCACCTTCAGCACAAGCAAAAACACATTCCCCCTTCCCCATTCCAAATTTTCTTCCTTTTTGGGGAGGGTGAACCTGATATAAAGAAATTAGCCGACTCAACAAAAAGTATGTACAAAATCACAGATTTAACTAAAGGATTCTTGCTCTGGCTCTGTGCTCAAACCACTTGTCTCTGCACAGCTTAGTTTGGGTGCTTTTTTCTCTGTGTACTCTTCAAGGCGCAAAAGCCACTTATTCCAGTACTCGGAGCACAGCTCAGGAGCCATGAAATGCTGGTGCGCAGGGGAGCCGTCCTTATAGGCAACCACGATGAGTCCACAGCTAACCTACAGGTAGAAACAGAAGGCTGTTGGAAATCCAACTTTAATGAGAAATTCTACAAACTAAACCCCATCTTAACATGTAAGCATCTTAAATAAGAAACAGGGAACAGAAAAAGAGCAGTAATTCACCGTAAAATACTTGGAGACTGATGTTCAAATGCTCCAAAGACTCAAGAGTCCAAAGCTCTGACTGACTTCAGTGCTAACCAGAGGACTTGAATTCTGCGTCTCAGAGTGATGAGGTCTATTTAAACCTTGCAGATGCTGACAGAATTCCCAGTGACTAACTAGGTTTTGCATGGGGTCATATAACCAGACTGATGCCATTCTCCAGCATCGGTCTAAATAGAAATGGTTGCTTAGGTATGTTCTGACATCCTTCGTATTTGACAAACATCTAATCCAAACCCCAAACAGCCACCAGGATGAAAAGAAAGTGGTGGGGGACAGAAGGCTAATAGCAGAATTCTAGAATTACTGCCTATATTTCACTCTGCAAGGATCATGCCTGTTATGTGCTTGTGTTGACTGACCTCTACAGTATCCTAGAAAAGTCCTTTGCACAGCCTATGAATTACTCTACTTTTTTCTGCTGTTTCCCCCTTCAGTGTTTTGTATTGAAATAACAATTCTTCAGGCCAAGCAGGCCTGGCTAGAATTGCATTTGGAGTATTTAAAAACACTATTCCACTGTCTTCTGTGGTTAAGTGATTGACAACACACTTCGACTGTACAGCTTCCAAACACTTGAGTAAATCAGTCCCCCTTTTGCTGGTGGGATACAGCAACACATGATGCTAGCAATGCCCTGCCACTACATTTCCCTGTTTGCAGGCTCTTCTGCTTCACTTCTTCCCCTTCCTACTCTTCACATAAACAAAAACCACACAGAACTATGCACTGGGGGTTGCCCAGATGTCAAGTCACTGTGAGCTCATCTGACCTCCTGAGCATCCCTTGGTCCCACTGAGCAGCTCCTTAAAAACCACCGAATATAGACTGCTGACAGGCAAAGGCAGCAGGATTAGCAAGGGCAGTGGAGTTATTTCACAGTATGGCAGCTAAACCTGATCTAAGACTGAGCTACTTTATCACAAATCCTACCAACAGTTCCGTGATGGACAGTAAGTGCTAAAGGCAGTAGGTGGGGAGAAATGAAAACAACATGGGTGCTGCTGCTTGTCTTGGCAGGCAGCAGGGCTACTGACCTGGAAGTCATAATTGGCATCATGATTGATGGCTCCAATATATGCTGCAACCTGTAAAGGGTTGTCAAAAGTATCCTTCAAAGATGGCTTTGGTTTCTCTGAAGTTTTCCAGTCAATCACACACAACTGGCCTCTGCATAAGAGAACAAGATAGGACAATGTTTTAAACTTAAGTTTAGTCATAAGTGAGAAATAAGGGATGAGACAGCAAAGTTGTATCGCTCTCAGCCTGCTTCACCGATGGCATGCTGCTCATGATTATGCCTAAACAAGTCTCTTTCACACTTTGGTAGTTTAGATCTCCAAAATGAGTACTTAACTAATATCCACTGCAGTTCTGCCAGCTGCTGAGGATCCCTTAACCCTGCCCCACTCATACTCTGTTCCACTAAAGGAATTCTTCACAACAGCACTTCTAACACCAGGTTCATCCAGGGGAGTTCATCTATTACTATTCTCTTAGAGATCTGGTCCAGCTTCCCCCTCCCCAGACACACCAGCTCCAGCCTGGGACACAGCCTCCCCCGTGCCACGAAGCACCAACACCACACTGGCATGACCAGGTTTCTTAGAGAACCAGTCCCTCACCGATACTTAGCCACGCAGTCTACTAGGCCCAGATACTGAAGAGTCTCATGCTGAACTGCACTTTCCAGAGCTCTCACTTCGCTGATATCTTTCAAGACATGTTCCACACTCGACAAGTAGCCAGAAACAGTGACATCTTCTCTCCGCTCCTTAGTTACCATCTCTTCAGACAGGAATATAGATTCCAAAGCGGCATGAAAGAGATGTCCTTGGAGGAAAAGATCTAAGAAAAATGTGAAAAAAACCCACATTTTACATACTACTCATAACACCTGAGGGACTTGTATTCTAGATATTACACAACATAGGTCATCAACTAGTCCTAGTTTATGGACTGAAAGTTTGAGGATATGGGGAGGAGAGGGAATAAGACAGAAAAACAAATGAAATGTCAACAGTGAAATCAGTATCTCTTATATTAATGCTTACTTTACTTTTTTCTGGTCTCTAATTACACAGAAACAAAAGTATGACTTTAAATGTATTGTTAATTTAAAGGCATTTGTGAATGTCTGTGAATTAAAAGTATTATTCTAGGCTGCTTTTGCTTCTTCTGCTGCATTGGTTCATTTGAATGGAATTAATTAAATCTCCTCCTGAAATGGGCGGACAGAGTCCTAGAAGTAAAGGCTTATCTCAGAAATGATTCCAAGAAAGACAAATTTTAAATAGTTATGTAAGGTTTGTTATGCCACATTATTCACTGAAGTGCTTAACTCAAGAAGCACAAACACAGGATACTCAGTTCTAAAAAGCATAAGAATTTATGTGAGGAGCACTCAAGTGTTTGTCAACCTTGCTGCAAGAGGCTACCTTCTATCCCCCAGGTCTTCCCAGATGCCCATCAATCCTACAGCTTGGAGGAAGTTACCTTTGTAGGTCTTATGAAATGAATCATAGACTCACAGGCTGGTTTGGGTTGGAAGGGACATTAAAGCTCACCCAGTTCCAATCCCCAACCACAGGCAGGGACACCTTCCACTAGAGCAGGTTGCTCCAAGGCCTGAATTTCCAAAATGCTTGATCTGTAGGGACAGACACTGCAGCTACGCTAGCACATCCCAGCCAGCTGTCCAGACATTGCTTCCGCTTTGCAATCACGCTGTGGTTAGACTTACTTTTAGTATACTCTGTAAAACCATCTTTTCCAAGTTCCAGTATCATTTTCTGCTTCCATCTTTCTAGATATAAGGCTTGCTGTGGAGAAATAGTCTGTTGAAGAATATGGGTAACACTGGGCATTTTTGTCTTGTTTTTCTCTCGTAAAGGGATTTTCACGGGGAAGTTTGAATCACTGTTGAGAAGGGGAATCTTCTTGTTCCGGTTTATTAAAGGAATCCAATTCCTTGGAGCTTTTGTTTCAGCTTTAACCAGACGTTTGTGTTGTTTTGGTGGCCCATATAAAAAACTGTCTTCTTCAAGTATTGTCTCCGGTGTTTGGGCACTGGTTTTGTAAGAGATCACAGAGGAGACCAAATTATTGTATTTGTCCTGGTCAACTAGTTCATAGCTGTTCACTTTTTTATTTTTACTATGAAGACATGTGGAGGTAGCCAGACACATAAATGGGAATTGCTTTTGGCAAAAAGGTATTTGAAAGAGTGTTTCTAGTTTCCCTGGTTTCATGCACAGTAGCTGTAGGAATTTCATTCTGACAGGAAGCATTGTGAGTAGGAATTTTCTTTCTTCTGTTAGGAACAGTCGGTAGATTACTGTATTTCCACCCTGTAGAAAAAGAAATATGTGATTTCCAGAGTCATAAAACTCTGCCACCAACCTATTTTTGCCCATTGCCAAACAGAGAATTGCTGTGGTCATAAAGTGTCTTCATACACTTTATGCCACCAAAACTCCTTTAGGCGAGTAATAAAGTAAGAGAAAGAACAAATAAGCAATGAAAAGAGGAAATGATCCTGAGAAGAACTGGTGCTGTTCCACAGAACCTGAAGGAGAGCAAATGTATAAAGATGTTTCAAGCAGCAAAAGCTGCAACAGAGGATGCTCTTACAGCAACAGTATCAGAAATGTCATGAAAGTGGACACCAAAAGCTGATCTGCAACAAACAATCCCCCAGAGGAGGGTGAGGGTAATAGAATAAAAAGGCTATGCAGAGAGAACGAAGCAAATTCATTGTTGTGAAGTATTAAGATCATGTAAGCCTATAGTGGATGACCAGCTTAAGGGGATTGTGGCAACAAAGTACATTTGGGAGAACAAAACAATGTTCTTACTTTAGTATCCCTAGAAGAAAGCAGACAGCAGCAGTATGTGCCTTTTGAAATCAGGAGATGTGAGACTAGGAAAGCCAAAGAAACCGGATGGACTGCAAGTATATTCAGATTCCACTAAATCAGAGCAAAATAGAAAAGTATTTTCCTAAACTCAGTTTCAAATGTGGCTGTGTGCCAGGACACTTAAAAGCTGAAAAGCAAAACCAGTGTACCATAAATATTGTTCCCAGAATAGCTTTCAACACTGCTTTGGAACTGCTGTGCTAAGTCCTATGAAAGTTTATGCAGTTGTGAACGCTTCAATAGTGGCATTTAAATCAACACTGAACACTTGCAGAATTGAGGCCCTATTCTCCTACTTGAAGTTATCTGCTTACCCTGATAAAGTTCCATTCCACCCACTACAAAAAAAAAAATAATGCAGGCAATGCACACTGCCAACTATCATTGGAATTTTGCTCCTGACAACACTTAAATGTTATTCATTGTTTTTCCCACACTTCTTAACCAACTTTTCACACACTGCCTAAGCCATAGGCACCACAGACAACAAAAACATAGTAGGAGGAGTCATCCTGCATGGACAAATCCTGTGCTCAAGCAGAACTGCAGTGACACCAACGTGTGGGTGCAGGCATAGAATCCCAGACTGGTTTGGGTTGGAAGGGCCCTTAAAGCTCATCCAGTTCCAACCCCCTGCCATGGGCAGGGACACCTTCCACTAGAGCAGGTTGCTCCAAGCCCGTGTCCAACCTGGCCTTGAACACTGCCAGGGATGGGGCAGCCACAGCTTCTCTGGGCACCCTGTGCCAGGCCCTCATTACTCTCACAGGGAAGTTTCGTCCTAATCTCTCATTTAAATCCACTCAGGAATAAGATGCCCTGGTTGGGCTGCCCCCGCGGCCGGCCTGCCCCCCTCAGCGGCCATGCCCACCCAGCCCTGGAGAGTCCGGCCATGAGACCCGCTCGGTTTCAAACCGGGGACACGGAGGGAACACGCTTGACGGTTGAGACGCAAGGATCGACCACAGGCAGAGGTAGCTGCAGGCCCAGCAGCCGGGGCAGGCAGCTGCATGCCCTCCGCTCACCAGGGCCAGATGGAGACCGCCGCTGAGAACGCGCCCCTTCACCTCCCCACCACAGCCGGACAGCCCCAGCCCGCCTTCGCCTTCTCCCCCTCCCCGCACTGCAGGTTCTTACCGAGGCGGCCCCGGCCGCAAGCCTGTCACGAACAGCAGCCCCGGGGAGAAAAACCGGCCACGAGTGTTACCTCACGGACGCACTTCCCGCCACCGCCGCGGCCTCCGGTGCGCGGGCGCAGTCTGGCCACCGCCAGCACCCTCACTGCACATGCGCACACCGCGGCTTGCTGGTATTTGTAGTTCCTCCGTTGCTCGCGGGGGCTCGGCTCTGGGGTCCCTGAATACGGTGATGAGCGGGGGAGTCTGTGCCTTTAGCCTTGTTTTTTTTAGGGTTCTTTGAAAATCGTTCATGAGAATAACCTATATCTTTAACAGTAAGGAAAAAGGACAAAAAAAATCCAACTAACGTTGTGCCGCCATCTTGGATAAAGGCAAGCAGCACACTGCCCTCACCCAATATGGCCGCCGCCCCGCGCGGGGGCCGCCGGGACGGTGGGGGTGTGTCGGCGGCAGCGGGAGGCGGTGGCCGCTCCGCCCCGGGCTTATATGAGGCGGCGGCGGTAGTGGGGAGGTTTGTGAGCGGTGGTTGTGGCTCGGCGGGATGGATTTGCTCCGGGAGGACGCGCAGGGCAAGGTGAGGGCGGCGGCCCGGGGCCGGCTGAGGCGGGTTTGGGGGAGTGCGGCTGGGTTGGCCCGCGGAGCGTGAGGGAGCTCCGGTCCTGCCCGCGGCAGTGACAGGGGTTTACTTCGGTTCAGTTTCTTGGGGTGTTTCTGGTTGATTTCTTTTTAAGTGTGAATTTTCCTAGTCCCTGTGTTGTTTGTTCCCTGCACCCAAGGTCCTGTGCGAGCAGGTGGTCAGGGTGAGCGTGGGGTGTTGCCCCTGAAGGAAGAGGTGCCCCGAGAAAGATAAAGAGGGGTGGAAGGAAGAGAAGCCAGAATGGGAAGAAGGGACGGGTTCTGACTGCCACAAGCAGGGCAGGCTGAGTGTGGAGCACCTTTGGTGTTGGTGGTGGGAGCAGGATCCAGGCAGGGCCTGGGCCTGTTGGGGATGGAGGAGCTGGACCTGCTCGTCAGGGTTTGTGGCTGGGCACTAGCAGTGAAACGCTGTAGGTGCCTTTGCCGAGGTGCTTAAACTTGCAGGCCAGCTCGCGTGCTTGTGCTTAGCTTTCCTGGTGGTGTGGCCTGTGTTACCCAGGCTGTTACTGGCCCTTCAGTTGTGCCACTTCTTTGCTTTGCTTGCCCCATCGGTAGCTGACTTGGTTTGTCCTTTGTAGCAGTGTTGAAGCTTTAAGTGCAAAGGAGGCTTATGTCTTGTCTTTGAGGGAGCGGGGGGGTGTTGCCGAATGTGAAGACTCAACTTTGCAGAGGAAATGCAAATTAAATGCAAAAGTGGGAACTTTGTGAATCAATGTGCATGTATGTTGGCAGTGCTTGGAGTTATTTCTTATGCTGGAGAAGCTGCCTGGTTTAATAACTACCCCCAACACACATTGTATAGAAGATAAGCCAGTTCTGTAACAGGCCGTGAGCTGCCTATTTGACTTTCATATTGTTGCAGTAGCTTTGCACTGTGACTAAGCTTAACTCACTTGTGGGTAGATGAGATGTGCCTTATACTGTTAAGGGAGCTTGAGCCTTTTCATTCTGTGTTTTCTCTAGCTTTTTGGAAGATGTGTATTGGCTGACTTGAGAGCTAGGAGTACACCTACTTTTAACTTTCCTAGGTAACTTCCTTGCACATGGACAACTTAAATATGCACAACTTCTCCTGCATATGACTTTTAAAACAATCTTGATCCAGCAGAGTAGGTAAATGTTTGTTGAGCAAGTGTTTTCCTGTTTCTTGTTTTGAGCTATGAATGAGCCAGGGCTTTAACTTTCTCCCGCTGCTTGTGAATCTCTTAGTATTGGGTTGTCTGCCACCTGAGAATGAGTGTAAGCCTTTATGGGCCTGCAGGGACTAGCTGGGGAAGGTAAAATATCAACTGTCTTTCAGCAAATAGTAACTTTGAGTATTTGTGTGTCATTTTGAACTTAACAGGAATATTGGGGGGAGGGGAAAATGTTCCTACAGTGAGGGCTTGAGTAGCTTTAAGCTCTAATGCTCAATGGCCAAAGATTAACCAGCTTGTGTCAGGTAGTAGGGCTGCCTTGGGATTCAGGCAGCAAGGGGGAGGATAGAAATACTCCTGTCTTTGGTGTTTCCTTACCTAAACAGGAACAGACATGTGGAACTGATGTGTGGCCAGTAGATAAAGCCTGTGCCTATAAAGGAAACTTGATTAGGTATTAACCTTGAATAGGACTCAATGGTAAGTATAAACTAAAAACTGACCCTGAGGTGGCAAAGCAGGAGAAGCTCAGGATATGTAGGAAGAGGGAGGAAGAGTAGGATAAGGGTGACTGGAAGTGCAGTGGGGAAAGATGGTGTAATCTGTCATGGAGAGGAAAAGGCACTTCAGAAAGTGAAGCGAGTAGTGGGACTGCCAAGCTAAGCTCGGTGTTTTTTAATGTCAGTGGCTTGATAGCATTTTTAAAGGCTGCAGTCTGCAGTTAAACTGCTCTAGATTGAAATACTGAGAGTATTGTAGCCACTTTTTCTCACAACAGTCAGTGGGAGAGATAAAAATGCTATGCCATAGCCTGGGACTTGCTCGTATTACTCTTGAACAGTGGTTCTCTGTGCTAGACAACTTCTATATGCTCTCTAAACAGAGGAAAGATGAGAGCCTACTAGATCTTGCTTGTGTTCTGCAAGAAAACTGCTTGTGCATCCTGCTGGGCCTGAAAGCAAGGAGGGAGATGAACTGCCAGCAAGGAGAAAGCTATTGGATAATGTACTGTTAAGGACATAGAGAATCACAGACAGGTTTGGGTTGGAAGTCATCTTAAAGCTCATTCAGTTCCAACCCCTGCCACAGGCAGGGACACCTTCCACTAGAGCAGGTTGCTCCAAGCCCATCTGACCTGGCCTTGAACAGTTCCAGGCATGGGGCAGCCACAGCTTCTCTGGGCAACTGTGCCAGCACCTCACCACCCTCACAGAGAAGAACTGCCTACTGTCCCCTCTGTAAATCTCCCTCTGTCAGTTTAAAACCCATTTCTCCTTGTCCTGTCCCTGCAGGCCCTTGTCAAAAACCCCTCTCCAGCTTTCTTGTTGGCCCTTTTAGGCACTGGAAGCTGCTTTAAGGTCCCTATGGAGCCTTCTTCAAGCTGAACAAGCCCAGCTCTCTCAGCCTGTGTCCTCTTTGGGCTAATGATCTGATCTGAAATCCATGGGAAACGAGAGCATGGTGTGAGGCTGCATTGCTGAAAACACTCTATCACCAGTTCTGTCCTCGCTGCAGGAGGTCAGCAAAACACTCTTGTAGATGCTGACTGTGGCTCAGGGTTTGCTTCTGTTGCCTGATTCCAATTTAAGCTGGTCATGCATCATGTTACAGGTGGCACGTTGGCTAAAAGTGCTTAGCCATGGGCTGTGCTCTGCCAGCAGACTGCTGCAGTGGGGTGGGTTTGGCCTGTGCTGCAAAAGCTGCTTCTCGACCCCTCGAGCTGAGGAAGAAGTGGGTTGAGTGGAGGTCTCCATGTGCTCCTTGGTGGAGCAAGATGAGCTAGAGAGATTTTTCCTTTGAATATGGGATCCTTCAATGTCCTGCCCTCTAAAAAGGTGTGTGACCGCTTGGTTTCTGCAATGATGCAGAGATCCCTCTGACAGGAGAGTGAAGTGATCAAGGCCAGCTTATTGCACAGCCAGTGGTAATAGCGGCTGCCTTCTGCTTACTTGGCAAGCACTGTACTTGGTGAGAAATGCGATTGCAATGACTAAATTGAGCTGTTACTTCCTCTTTATCTGTTTTAAGCAAAAGTAATTAAACCATTGCATTGCTGGAGTTCTGTGGTCCAAAGTCACAAATTTGGGGAAGCATTTTTTGTATCCTAAGTAGCAGCATGAAAACAGTGTGAGAAGACTGGTTCAGTGGCTAGATGTACTGCTTCAGCTGCGTGGTAGAGAGCAAAGAGCAAATCTGTTACAAAGGCTGAAAAATCAAAGTTTCATATCTACTGTGTGGTGTCTACACTGCTGCGTGTGTGCAGTGTACTTTCTGATGTATTTTTAGTATCTTGATTAAAGGGAAGCTTGGACCACTTGTATCAAATGTGACTAAAACATAGTTATAGCAACTAATATCACTAATACCTGCTGGCCTGTTACTCTGAATGTTTTGCTGGTTAACTCCTGGGTGTTGAAACGAGGCCTTCTGAGGGCTCTATAAAACTGCCAGGAAAGATCATGATCTTTTAGTGCTCTCTGGAGAGCACTTAAACTGGCTTAATTAGACTGCTCTGTAGAAAGTAATGAATTCTGGGTAGTGGCAGATGTAATCACTACACTCTTGTTTGTGGCTATTGTTTGAACGACAGCAGGGAGGTGATCAGTAAGAAGGAAGGTGTTTTCTTATAAGGTAGCTGACAATAAGCAGAAAGCTCTGTGACATGCAAGCCCTTGTGGAAGGGCTCCTTGCTCCTTCTGGTAGCCTAGCTATGTGGGAAACCCCAGCATTAACCTAAACAAATATGTATTCTTATTTTGCTAGCAGTTGGATATTGTACACAGTTGCTTGCACTGGCAGATTCTTTTGTTAGAATGCAGAAGTAACACTGAGTCATCCAGAACTGATGCTAAAACTGCCAGCAGCTCGGGCCACTTGAAAGAAGCAGCTTCAGTGGTGAGGGCATTTCATTCCCCTGGGTACCTGTGAATGTGACAGTGTATTTGCATTGGGTGGGGCTGGTCAGAAACTTGTCTGTCAAGCTAAAGCCAGGGCAGGTGATAGTAATCGATGGGTTGTACTTAAATCATCCAGCCCTTTAATATCTCTAAGCAATGGAAAAAGTGCTGTAAAACTGTCTGGATTGGTCACAATAATGTTCTCTGCTGGCTCTTCTCTTGGGCTTCCTGATAAGGTGATAGTGTCCTAATTGGTACCATAATACCTATTTTTAGTCTTCTAGTCCTGGTGCCTAGAAACAAGGATCAATAGGATGACTGTCTGTTATTCTGGAGGGCTCTGCTTATGTCTTGTTTTAATTTTCAGGTCAGAGTGTGGTGGACAGTATCTTTACTGAACAGGGAGAAGTTTTTCTTCAATCCTCACAAACCCTGCTGGATCCCAATAGAAGTCACTAGAGGCATGAAGCTAGAAGGCATCAGAGCAGCTATAACAGTTGCTGTGGTCACTGTAAAACAGAAGTGTCTAAGCTTTTTCTGAGAAAGGGAAATAAGAGGTGAAAGTGGGGAGCTGTGCTGAGCTTGAGTGAGTGTTTCAGTTTGCTGTTTTCCCACTGTGCTGTTCCAGTTGCCATCCTCTACTTCTTTTGGACATGAGCTCCAAGTAAGGACTAATCTCTTGCCAGCTGCTGAGCTTGGACTATATACCCTTAAGAGTGTAGGGGTGATGGTGGTTTCTGGTAATTGGGATAGAGAAACTTCATTTCTCTTGCCCCCCTGCCTGGAGTGCATGAAAGAAGCAATGATGTCCTATCAGAGAAATGCCTCCAGAGATGGAGTTGCCAGACATGGCAGGCCAGAGAGCTAGGATGGAGTGGTTTCACGGGAAGGGCTTGGGTTGGATGCCTGTTATGGTAAAGGAACAAGCCTGGGGCCTGATGATGAAAGCTTAATTCCTTTGCTCTGCACAGCCTTCATGTGATCATAAGCAAGGTGGTCTTCATTTGTGCTTGTAGGATGGGTGTAAGAGAGATGGTGGAATGAGAAGTCCTGTGTGATGAGCTGCTAATGCTACAGGAGCAGGTGCTTGTGTTGACTGAGGGCTGGTGTGGAACATCTGCTTTAGGTGTTTGCTGGGTTAGTGCCTTACAGAGCTGTGGTAACAAGGTGGGGTGTAGGGGCTGCTTCTTGATTCTAATTCGGTAGAGAAATGCTGCTCCATCATGTTCTTGTAGGGAAAGGAAGAGCTCTATCCTCCCATAGTCAGACACTGTGAATGCTCTCTTTGTAGTCTGAGCCTTGCTGCCATGATTGTGTAATCCTAAAGGTTTCTGGCCTGGAGTTAGGAGGCCACAGTGACCTTCAGAGGGATAGAACAGAATGGTGGTTTTGATTCTCTTTCAGATGGCTCCAGGTCCTTTACTGAACTTCAGAGTCCTGAAATGCAGAGGTGATAATCCTGCATATATAACTGTCTTCGAACAGTTATATGCTTAATGTTTGAGCTTGCAGTGACCTTCAACAATAGGGGGCCATGTACACTTACAGCAGATGTTTAGGGTAATAGAGGACCAAGATTCTTTACTTTAAGCAAGTGTCTTCATGTAGGCTTGAGAGGCTGAAACCCACCACTGAATGTAGGGGTGCTCTTGACTCTTCTTCTGTTTCTGGGCTGCTCTCACATTTTGGGCACTATGTGTAGTGCTCTGGAATGCACAGCTGAGCACTGCTGCTGACTTCCAGTTGTTTCTGAGTGAGGCCACACTGGGACAATCAGCTCTCTCACAGCAGCATCCCTGGGGATTGTTGAAGCTGGAGGTTATTTGTTCTTGCTCATTGCCTCTGCAATTTATAGGCCTAGTGTGTGGGGAGAAATGCCTGTGATACATGAACTGTTTTAATCTGACTAAGTAGTACCATCCTTGTCCATACCTGCCTATCTCCTGTGCAGCCAACTACTAGGCATGGAAGGGGGTGCAGACAGCACTTAATCATGGCTTACCTTCTTCACAAGACTTAATAAGAAAGCTCACAAATTCTGAACTGGCTGATTGGTGTAATCCTTTCCTTAGTTTAACTGAGAGGAAGCAGTTTCCTTTGGCTTATCATACTTTCTAGACTCAGCAGTTCATATTGTTAGCACTGCTGAGCCTGTTTGGACAGTAAAGATAAGTAAGCAGGATGCAACACATGGGTCTGCATCGTTGTCACTGCTTTGGCTGCTAGTGTTATCTGGCTGGGAAACACTGACCAACTTGCCTTTTGTTTAGCTGGCAACACAGAGCTGTACTTGCAGTGAGACTAATGCCTGAATGGTGGCCTTCTATCTGTCCTTCCTCTAGTGCTTGAATGGGGCAGCTGCTGCCTAAACCAGTGTGAGTGACCTCTGAACCATGCACATTTGGGCTGTTTGGTCTATACCTTCCTAGTAAGTATCAGAATTTGCATGCCTGTAGGATAAAATGATAATCTGCCCTATGGGGTTACTGGAGAGAATTGACTGCCACTGGAGTCCTTGAAGTGTTTGGAGTCCCACTGTGTCCATTTGGATGTGAGCAGTGCTGGGACTGCTAGGAACTGTGTTCCAGGGTATGCTGTGTAAGCTCAACATTCTTGCTTGTTGCCAAAGCAATACCCAGAATGGGATAGAAGTCTTCTGTCCTATAGAAGCCAGAATAGGAAGCTCAGTGTGCTTGGTCTTTCCATAGCTGTAGAATCGCAAGCTTCAACTACCAGCTGAAGTGGGAGATGGAAGCCTTTAGCATGGCTTGAAGGATAAGGCTACATTGACTGGGCTATCCCTTGTTTAGGTGCGAGACCCTGATTATAGATGATAGCAGTAACCATCAGTGGTAGTGGGAGTCTAGGCAGGGATAGGCAGGCTGGAGGCAAATGCAGGCAGCCAGAGACTGGTTTCCCACCAGATCTGGGCTGCAGCACACACACAGAATTGCAGTATCAGTTAGGTTGGAAAAGACCTCCAAGATCATCAGGTCCAGCCATTCCCCCAGCACTGCCAAGGCTGCCACCAAGCCATGTCATGAAGGGGCTTGTCTACACGGTTTGTAAACACTTCCATTGTTTACACTGCCCTGGGCAGCCTGTTGCAATGCCTGACCATCCTTTTGGGGAAGAAATTGTTCCCAATATCCAGTCTAAACCTCCTGTGGTGCAGTTTGAGGCTGTTTCCTATTGTCCTACCATTTGTTCCTTGGGAGCAGAGCCCAGCCCCCTCCTGGCTCCATCCTCCTTTCAGGCAGTTGTAGAGAGAAGTAAGGTCCCCCCTGAGCCTTCTGTTTTCTGGACTAAACCCCCCTCAGGTTCCTCAGTCATTCTCCATCACACTTGTGCTCCAGGCCCTGCACCAGCTCCATTGCCCTTCTCTGGACCCACTCCAGCACCTCAATGTCTCTCTTGCCATGAGGGGCCCAGAACTGAACACAGTTGAGATGCAGCCTCACCAGTGCCCAGTTCAGGGGAATGATCACATCCCTGGCCCTGCTGGCCACACTATTGCTGATACAGGTGAGGATACTGTTGGCCTTCTTGGCTGCCTGGCCGCAAGCTGCTCATCTCCAGTGGCCATCAATCAGCACACCGACATCATTATAAAGCTATTCAGTTAAAAGACAGAAACAGGGAAGAAAAAAACAAACCTAAAAAAAAAACCCCAACAAACAAAACAAACCCAGAAAGGACAGCCCTCGAGATATTTACATCAACAGACTAGGACCAGACTAAGGAGAAGGAGCTTCTGAAGCTTTTGGATGCAAAGCTTCACTGTATAAAAGGCAACCCCTCAAAAGCTTCTGGAAAGCTGCATAAGAACTGAAGGCAGCATTCAAGCTATCTGTGACATGACAGCCTTGCTCAGATGCTGTCTGGCACTGCTTGCTTGTGAGCTTTGATGCTGAAACTTGTGCTTAGTGGGAGGCTAGGGCAAGCTCCTGGCTGGTGGGTTCTGTGTATTTATTTGTATGCTGCAGGGTGGTGAAATGATACCAGTCTCCTGCTTGATTTCCTGGGAAGGCATTCAGAATTATCTCTAAAGGATAATGTTGGGATTCAGCCTGGCTGTGATGGTCGCTCTTCAGCAAACTTCCTGTGTTGTGACCTTGATCTCTGGCTGCTTCTGCCTTCTGCAGAGAGTAAGTGCTGCAGCACTGAAGGGAGGGCCTCTTTGGAGACTGGTGTTTCACGTTACGGTGGTTCCTGTGCTAGGCTGAGGTTCCTCCATGCTTCTGGACTACAGATGACTGAAGCTTGTGATCACTAGTGTTTAATAGCTTGTGGAAGTCTATTTCTTGGTATCTAAACACATGATCCTGCTTGATGTAAGAATTGGATGTATGCATTCCTCTAAAGTGATGCTGGATATGCCTAAACTTTTTTTTTGCTTGTTTCTGAGGTCATTCAGGAAATTGAAGCCACAATGAATAATATGATGCCAGGTATCCTGAAAATAAGATCAAATAGTTCTACTGCTGTAGTGTTCTTGGGTTTTGACCCTGTTTCTGCCAATCAGTTGGCTCTTAGACTTTATGGGAGTCTAAAGGTGTTTTGTGCCCCACTTTTCTCCAAGATCAGAGGTGGTGTAGTCTCTGCAGCTGTCAGCACAGCAAGTGGAATATGTGCAATAGTTTTGGGAGGTAGGAATGGCAGTAGTGATCAATCTGGGCCTGGTGGGGAAGCATCAGGCTCTTGCCTAGGGCTTGCTACTTGTGATAAAGCACTTAATTCTTCTTGCCTTAGATTAAAGCAGCTCTCTGATCTAAGAGTGAGGAAACAGATCACAAGACTAGGCTCTTGGGAGCTGTGCTGCCACATATTGTGGAGGCACAGAGTAATGAAGAGAGAACTATTTTGGTTGTTGCTAAATGGCATAATAGGCTCTGGCTTGATGTGTTCCAAGTAAACAAGCTGGAGGAGTACTTGAAGGAAGAGGCTTCTTTTCTTTCAAGGCAGGTATTTCCAAATACTTGTGTGAATTCTACCAACTGGTTCTATTGGTTCTTCAGGCTTTAAGCTAATAAGCCTTGTTCTTTTCCTGTGTTGGGAAGGCTTGCCACAGTGATGTGCAGGTAGTGTCAAGTCTGTTGTGCTTGTTCATATGTGCTCATCCTGAAGGCAGCAGTTTAGCGCAGTGTGGTTCTTGTTGATAGCTGATGGCCAGTCTAAGCTTCACTAAACCTACTTGATATTTGAACTGAGGCTTATACTGTGAATTCTCTTGCAGCTGAGGTCTGTATCGGTAGACCTGAATGTTGATCCTTCTCTCCAAATTGATATACCTGATGCCCTAAGTGAAAAAGACAGGGTGAAGTTTACTGTGCATACTAAGGTAAGATCATGGGGTAGAAAGAAGCCTTTATAAATGTTATGCAAGTAATGTTTGTGTTTGTAATATGCATACCTGTAAAGATGGACTTGGCAAAGAAAGAAATCTAATTAGATGGAGATTTTTCCACTTAAAGGTGGCCTGAGGCTGTATATATATATATATATATATATATATATGCAGAAACTTCAGATTTCCTGAGACTTGAACACTCCCTAAATAGAGACAAGGTAGCTGGTACACTAGATTGGCTTTTCTGAGGAATCCTAGCTTGACACCAGGAAACTGGGGAGTAGGGGTGGAGAAACCAGTTACTGTGAAACTTCATAGAATAAACTGCATTAATGCTGTTTCACAACAGTGCCTTTTCTTTAAATAGTCTCCTTGGGAGTATGGCTCTGAAGTGAGTGCCAGCTCAGCTAAAAGGGAGTAGGCGAGGCTCTTACTAGGCAAAATAGCTTCCTTTGGAAAGGGACTGAACTGTTTCTAAAAGCTACTAATTTACAAAACAGTAGGGCTTCTATATCTTCTTTTCCAGACTACACTGCCAGCTTTTCAAAACCCTGAGTTTTCAGTTACAAGGCAGCATGAAGACTTTGTGTGGCTGCACGATACGCTCACTGAAACTGAGGAGTATGCAGGACTCATTGTAAGTACTTCCTAAAAAACTTCATTCCAAGCAAAAGACTGTAGTGATTTTAAAATGCATATTAGTAAGGGCATGAAGCTTACTTTACTAATATTACTAGCATTTAAAAAACTTGGGTGTTCCCTATGCTTCCTCTTGCCTTAATTCCCAAACAGCTTGAGTGGTATGGCTCTTATGTTAACTTATGAACTTATGGCTGTTGTTATAGCTTGGAGCAGCAAAAAAACCTTGATGCTCTGGGAGTCTTTGACTCTCTGGTGGTGCTGGAAGGTAACAGTGAAATACTCCTACTTAATATAGTCTTTCTTTCCTATTGTGATTTCTTTTAAGAGGCCCTGAGGGCCACAGAAGATGGCTGACTATAGGGTGGATATAGACACTATTCTTCTTGGTTGGTTTCCTTCCTGGGGCAGGGGGTAGCACAGAGCTGGGAAGAGCAAACAGGGACCCAGACATCAAAATGGCCTTAGAATTCCTGTGTGTGAAGCCTCCCTGGCTTGTGATGACCAGGCAGAAGGGCCTCCTTCCAGGGAAGGCTAGAAGTAACTTTGGAAAGCTTTATTTGCTAGCATCTATCACTAACCAGTTCCTTGGCTAGATACCTCCAGCACCTTCGAAGCCTGACTTTGATGGTCCCAGAGAGAAGATGCAGAAGCTGGGGGAAGGAGAAGTGTCCATGACAAAAGAAGAGTTTGCCAAAATGAAGCAAGAGCTAGAAGCGTAAGTAGAATGAGACTGCTGTCAAAAGCAGCTGCACTTTGAGAATCCTCCTGGGAGGCCAACTTAGTTGGTGATAACTGATTTTGAGTGTGACTGTTTTGAAGGGTGTCTGATGCTGCATAGTCTTTAAAATCTTAGAGCTGGGAGTTGCCAGTTTATTTTCAAACTGGATAACTTCCTAGCTAAAGGGATTGAAAATAGCTTCTCTATCACCACTAGCTATTTCAGAGGACTGCTGTTGAATATTTTCACTGGATAATCTTAAAGCAATTCTTTGTGTATTGAAGAAGGCAGTACAAGAGAAGATCTCAGTCTGTTCTTTCCTTTCAGTGAATACCTTGCTGTCTTCAAGAAGACTGTATCATCGCATGAGATCTTTCTTCAGCGGATTTCTTCTCATCCTGTGCTCAGCAAAGATCGCAATTTTCATGTTTTCCTGGAGTATGACCAGGATGTAAGGCACTCTTTTCTCCTTTCTGAATGAGGCACAATGTTAGAGGTGTCCCTTTTTCTGGCACGGTCAGAATGTTATGTAAGTCTATGTGCAGCATCAGCGAGCGAGATATTGCCAGTACTTCTGTGAGATGAAAGGGTGAAAAGCCTGACCTTTAGACCTCTTTCTGCTATAAATCTGATATTTGTTTCTTAATTCTAGTGAAGTTGGTTAGGAAGTCAGCTTTGTATGTCTTTATCTTAGGAACAAGTATGGTTCAGGTGTAGCTGTTCTGTGTGTTGCATGGAGTAGTGTAGGTCTATTAAAGTTAGTGCTGCATCTGTTTTGTCACACCCAGTGATGAATGGTAGATGCTGATCCAAGATATGTAAGGAAAAACTGAGCTGTTTCTGAGAATGGGAAAAAAATCTGTGACACACAATAGTTGAACAACTTCTAGTCAAGCCATTTCTTCATGCATCTTATACAAGTGATCTGGAGAGCTTGGAAATCATCTTGCTCTGTCATATGCTAGATGTAAATGATGTTACTTCATTGCAAATGTCAAAATCCTCACTTTTTTCCCCTTGGGATAACTTCTTAAAGCTTTTTTGGTCTCTGTTGCAGCTGAGTGTTCGGAGGAAAAACACAAAAGAGATGTTTGGTGGCTTTTTGAAAAGCATGGTAAAGAGTGCTGATGAAGTCCTCTTCTCTGGAGTCAAGGTAGGTAGTTGCTGTACCTCTTGCATACCCTCATTGATTTTTGCTTCCTGCTCTAGGGAGGTTAGTTCTGTCTGCTTTAGGATTGAGGTATGTAAGTCTCAGCTATTAATGCTAACCTTCCTTGTTACTGCTGGCCCATGTTGGGTGGAGTAGCATGGATTAATTTTGTCTCTTGTAGAAATAAGACAGTAAAGATATAGGCTGTTAAAAATTGAAGTGCATATTTAAAAGTTTCTGGTGGGTGCAGAAAGGTTGCCTTGACACCTGATACTGGTGAAAAGGAAGGAACTACACCTTCAGCAAATGTGCTTGTGGCTTTTGTCTGCTTTGGAGCTCTGAACAGACATGATTTAACAGGTTTGTGCTTGCACTAGACAAGATCAACTACCAAAGACTCCTGCAACTAGTCCAGCTTCAGCTTTTCTATGGTGCTGCCACAGTAGCTCTTTCTAATACACTTGCTTTTCTAATCAGGATGTCAGGAAACATTACAGTACGTATAATGTTTGGTGTGGATATGAAGCAAGCTTGTAAGCTGCTTAGCTACTGTGTTGTAGCAGGCCTGGGAAATTCCAACAGTTGGTAGCCCTGAGGGCTGTCTGATACCAGCTTACTGGTTGCTTCAAACAACCTGCAGTGTTGAATAGTTGAGTGTTAAGTCCATCTTCACCGTGGTAAAGAAACTTGCTGGACAGCTTGGTTTGTCAAACCCTTGGGTCAGGATCTTGTCTTGAACTCTACTCTTCAGTAGAGTTTGATGGGCATAATGAATCCCAGACTGTTTTGGTTTGGAAGGGACCTTAAAGCTCATCCAGTCCAAGGCCCTGACATGCACAGGGACACCTTCCACTAGAGCAGGTTGCTCCAAGCCCTGTCCAGCCTGGCCTTGAACACTGCCAGGGATGGGGCAGCCACAGCTTCTCTGGACACCCTGTGCCAGGGCCTCAGCACCCTCACAGGGAAGAATTTCTTCCCAATGTCTCATCTCAATCTCCCCTCTGTTAGTTTAAAGGAATTCCTCTTTGTCTTGTCCCTACAGGCCTTTGTCAAAAGCCCTTCTCCAGCTTTCTTGTCTGTCCCTTTAGGCAGTGGGAGACTGTTTATATGGTCTCCCTTGAGATGCTCAGGTGGTTGTGGTTATAGCTCTTGGCTCCTTCCAAAATAGGGATGTGCTTGTATTCTGCAGTAATATAACTGACATAACAGGTCATTCTCTCTTTCAGGAAGTAGAAGACTTTTTTGAACAAGAGAAGACTTTTCTTGTGAACTACTACAACAGAATCAAAGATGCATGTGCAAAAGCAGATAAGATGACAAGATCTCATAAAAGTGAGTATTTTCAAAGACCTTCCTAAAGGTCTTACAGTCTTGCTGATTTCAGCCTGAAAGCCTTGCCTTTGTTCTTGCAGATGTTGCAGATGACTATATTTATACTTCAGCTTGCTTGAACAGCCTGGCACTAGAAGAGCCTACAGTTATCAAAAAGTAAGCAATTCTAACTGTCCATAAACATACCTTGAGTCTGGGAATATCAAGTTGCTTCTGCAGAATCCAGGGGATTGAGTCATAGCTGGTTTGAGTTTCTTGAATTGCAAGCAAGTGGATTGAAACTTTCTTTTCTCTGCTGCTCCTGGTGATTCTTAACTAGCTGATCTCTTGCCAGTAGTGCCCTAGAGCTGAATTGTTCTGGTCACCAAAGCTTCTTTTAAACAGAAGTCTCCTTGATATTTTTTTCAGGTCACAAACTCCCAGAGAATATGAGAGGAAGGGGTTGTGCATCTGTTCTAATGTGCTGTTAAATACAACCACAGCTTACACTAGGCCTGTATTATCTTCTGGACTTTTGAAGTTCCAGAATAATAGGGCACTTTTCAAGTTATGGAAACATTGTCGGCTTCTCTAAGGTGAATTATTCCACCTTGCTAAACTTTGCTATCTATTTACCAAGGCTGGTAAATAGATAGCCTGGTGAAAACAGAATATACCTGGTTAAAACAGAGTGTATAGCTGAGTAATCAAGACAGTTCATCCATCTTGGAGGGTAGTAGCAGGGAAATTCTTCACAAGACCTTCATGCTCTAGAAGTCAGTGTTTACTTTAAATGGTGTTTAGCTGCTTAGCTGTAGTTGTCTGTTAAGCTGGAATCCAGCACCTCTTCCACTGAACCTTTTGTCCAGGTCTTTGCCTAGACCTGAGTTCTGGTCAAGACCTTGATGGGGTCTGTATATCCTGTTACTTACCAGACTAAGAAGTATCTACAACTTACTTATGCTGTTTTTCCTTGTAGGTACTTGTTGAAAGTTGCTGAGCTTTTTGAGAAACTCAGGGTAAGAGAAGCTTTGGAGGGGGAGAAAAGAATCTCTCAATGTGGATGTTGCTGTTTCCTGTTACATACCAACTATTTGATCTTTTCTGCAGAAGGTAGAGAGTAGAGTTTCATCTGATGAAGACCTGAAACTCTCTGAACTGTTGAGATACTACATGCTCAATATAGAAGCTGCTAAGGTGAGAACAGTTTTCTCTTTGAAGCTTAGTTTTATTATGGGCATCCTGACTCACTTGTGCTCTTTGTGCTTTAAGAAGACAGGAAGTCCACCTTAAAGGAAGCTGGACCCTTCTTTTGCCTAAGGAACCTGGCATTTCTAAACCACAGCAGAATATAGTAACTATATATTGGCTAGCTGCAGTCCAGCCCACTTATAGAAAAGCTGTAAGATCTCCAAAGAGTTTTTCTAGATTAGAAAGAAATTAGTGCAGAGATCTGTACTGCCTCTCATGTCTAGGTTAGTATAGTCCATCTGTTAGGTCTTTACCAAATTTAATGATAGGGACACATCCCTTAATAGAAGTAGACTGAGGGAGTTTAGAAAGTGCCATTCCTTCTTAGTGGAAAGATCCACCTTATAGGATAAAGACACTTCAAGGGAAGAAGTGAGGCCTGCAGTAGCCATCAAGCTTCTTTCTTGCTCAGGCATAAGTGGCTGTACTGAAAACTTGGCGCTGCACTTGTGAAAGGCTTCTGTTGCCATGCTAGGAGCATAACAGATTATAATATCGTGTTGGAAGAAGGAGAATCTGGTGCTGAAAGAAGTGAAACCTGCTGCTAAGATAGTTGAACCTCAGTTTGGGAAGTAGTTCTCTAAAGGCTTTGATGCATTATTACTGTCTGCTTTCAGGATCTTCTGTACAGACGTACAAGGGCTCTTGTCGACTATGAAAACTCGAACAAAGCTCTAGATAAAGCGAGACTAAAGAGCAAGGACGTCATGCTTGCCGAGGCACATCAACAGGACTGTTGTCAGAAGTTTGAAAAGATTTCAGAATCTGCAAAACAAGGTATTTGTGCTGAACGGGGATCTTAATGCAGTGCAAGTCTCCACCTGACTTTTAAGTACTGAAGGCTTCTGAAGCAAGTAGTCTAAGGGCAATATAGATGCCTGTAAAACTAATGTAGCTCAATGCTTTTAAGAATTGACTGAAGTGTTGTTTTCCATCTCCACCTGAAGGTGACTACTTAGGCTTCTGATTGTCTCAGTTAGAACTGTGCAAACAGGCTTTTACTCTGTCCCAGTACAGCTGAGTCTTATAGAGAGTTTCAGACACTGGTTCTTAGATACTTTTGGACAGTATAAAAGAGGAAACATGCTTTCATGGTACACATGCTACTCCTTTAATGTTCTTGGTTAAATGCACAGTGAGAGCATGTAATGTGTGGTTTGCTTATGTTTTGTTCTGATTGTCTTCCTACAAAACCTCTGTCTTAGACCAGCTGTTTCCTCACCAGTGTTGTGTGATGAATGCATCCCTGGCTACAAACAGAAAGGCTACCTCTTGAACCTCTTTGTGGTCGAATACTGTAACTAGAACTGTACAACAGAACTCGGGAAACATCAGAGGCATTACTGAAAGTTCAGTCAGACTTTGTCTGTTTTGTCTTTGTTCTTTCTTCTCTACAGAGCTGATGAGCTTCAAACAGAAGAGAATAGCAGCATTCCGCAAAAACCTAATTGAAATGGCAGAACTGGAAATAAAACATGCAAAGGTGTGTTCTCTTCGGAATTTAACAGGCATAGCTTTAGAGCAGTGAGTATGATGTGACTTGGAGAATTTGCTGGGTTCCCTTTAAAGCTAGGGAATGTAAAATAGAACAGTGTCGCTCTTCAGCTGAGAGCTGAAGAGGGGAAGGAATGGAAGTGAAAAGCTGTAGGTACAGCACATACAAAGACAGTCTTGTCTTGTCTGTCACGTGCAGAAGTTGTTTTCAGCCTGTGACTCCTACAAGACCAGCCTACTGCACTGCAAGTGAGAAATCTCAATTTGCAGGTAGTATGTAACAGCTCACCTCATTTACCATCAGGCAGTCTTATCTGTGGGGGTTGACCCTTCCTGTATCTAGAGGCAGCTGCTGCTTCGAGTGTTCCTGAGTGCTGTGAGAGCACACATACTGCTGCTTGTGGTTTAGCTGTCAGCCTTTCTCACTTGGCTTGTCAGTGAAAGGGGACACTGGCTTTGTAGCAGCCTCTGCCAGGCTTTACTGAGCAGGCTGCAGAGACAGCACCATGTACTGCCAGCTTAATCCAGGAAAGTGTACACTGGTGACAGGGTCTGTTAACTTAATGTAGAAACAAAGCAGGAAGGCTCAGGAAGAGTTAACTGTGCGTCCTCAGCTTCTCTTGGAAGAATTCTAATTTCTTCTTCCCTGGGAGTCCTGGACTTCATCACAGGTAGCTACTTCAGTGCTGAGCTTGAATGTGACATAAAGGCTTAACAATAGTGCTCAGTGCGGTCCACATTAAAACCTTAATACTCTCTTGCTCCTCTCCTGACCATACACTGAGTCATGGTTGCAGACCTGCAGGAAGAGGCAGATCACAGACTCTGTGATCTGGTTTTGGTGCTTTACTGCTTAAATGCTTGTCTTTGCAGTCTAAGCTCTTTAGTATTGACATAGGCTAGAAAATCCTGGGATGGACCTACTGGTTTGGAAGTTACTTTGGTGTGGGAAGCAGGTTGTTAAATGATCAGTCATACTCATCTGAAACTAATTCTCTTCCTTTCCAGAACAATGTCTCTCTCCTGCAAAGCTGTATTGACTTGTTCAAGAACTAAAGCGCCTTATTCTGAAAATGTGAAAAAAAGCATCAATTGCACTCAATGGCCAGGGGCAACTTATTGGCTTGACTTCATTAGCTTAAATATTGTCACTGAGGTTCTGTTTGACTAATACTTAAATATATTGATAGTGATACATTGACTTTCTTGGTATAAATGAGAATTGTGTATGAATTGTCTGGATGTAGCTAACATCCTCTTGGCTGATAACTCAAAATGAGTCAAATGTAAGAAATCAACTTGCTGTTGACTGACTTCATCTAGCAGAAAATGTTTCCTGAGAACTCCCTTTTTTGCAGGATCAGAGAGTTATCTGTCTCTTCATAGTCCTGATATATTTAAAACTTGCAAATGGGAGTGACTTATGTGTAGTAATTTTATAGAGCAAATATCTTTAACATTCCACTTCCCAGACAGATTTCTATTACAATATATTTTGGATTTCTATAACTACATTCAGTATTTGTACACTTGGGCAATACAGCAAATAAAGATGTCTGATAGAACAAGCTGTTGTATGGCAAGACTTTGTGTGGGATGTAACGTGACAAACTGAGATTTCAGGCACAGAACTGCGACAAATCACTCATCACCTGGAGCTCTTCATTCAGAGCACTAGAGGTGTTTGCCTCAATATGGGGACTTGAGGTCATATCTGAGTCTTTAAACTTTTACTTCCTACATGCTGCACACCAAGGTAATCAAACTTTTCCAAAGCATTGATCCGTACAGATGGCTTGGGCTCCTTCAGATTACTTTACAATGCTTGATATTTTGTCAGTCTTTTCACTCCTGCAAGCAACAGGAGGCTGTTCACAACTTCAGGAATCTTCTGTAAGATAAACATCTTCAAACTTGGTATGGCCAACTGGGTGTACGCTGCCATAGCTGAGGCAACTCAGCCTGTAAAACGGGGTCATTTCTATAGGTTGGCTGTCATATGACATATGTAGATACAGGTCACTGAGCCATAACCTAAAGGCAGCTTTCTGAACGGATATCTGAGCCTTGTTTCATGTCTTGTGACAGAACTTCTAATTGTGCTCAAAGTAACCTATGTGGCTATGCTCTGAGCAGACTGCCTGAAGCAGCTTCAAGCAGAGCAGCTTTGAGAATGGGCAGCTCAGCAGCAGTATATGAAAGGGTTGTTTAGTAATTTACTTTTCCATGACCTATTGCCTTTTCTCTTTCAGTACTCCATGACGACTGAGCAGCTCTCACCAGCCACACTATCCTGCATCAGTCTAGCTGAAGAATCCCTGAATTGTCTTTATCTTTGCTTGACAGGAATGGTTTCAACTTGTGGTTAAGGTTTCTACAGTTCATGCTCACCTTCTGCCCAAATAACTCTGTTCTAGCAGCAGCCATACAAGTATATTGCTTGGGGATACGTGGCCCCTATATAGAAGAGAGCTGGTAGGTGCCATCACTGTCACCTATGACAGATGACTAGGAGTTTATATGGTGCTTGTCCTGGGGCAACTAGTGGTCCTAAGCTGGGCAATTATTGCTGTCAAAGTTTTGGCTTTTCCTAGAAATGCCCACTGTGCCTCTTGCCCTCGCTTCTGGCTGCTTCATCCTAGGCCCTGCTTGTGGACCAGTTCAAGGGCCTTATTTTCCCCAGAGAAAGGCTGCAGCTAGCATCAACATGACAAACAACACTTTGTCCTTACTCGAGAAGCAGTCTAGACTGTTGTGGGCTTCATGCACTGCCAGTAACATGTATTTGAGGCTGAGATGGCCTTTTTTAATACTCTTAGAGTATTAGATGTTTGCTCTTGTGTGGCTTGCACTCTAAATTCCTGGCATAGCTCGATTCAGATTAAAGTATTAAATCTGATCAGGTTAAAAAGCATGTAAAAGACTTGAGTGGATGTAATTATGGCTTTATACCGACGTGGTAGGTATGGTAGTTCTAGTTAATCAATAGTTAACTGCAAGAAACGGTAGCTGGAAAGCGGTTTGCCAGTAAGTTGCTCTGAAGCTGTTCTGTGGCTGCTCTGCCGGTAGGGTGCATTGCAGTCAGCTTCGACGTCTGAACCGCGTTGACTTGGAAAACACGAGTCACAGTACAAACCCTGTTGCTGGAGGCCAGTGGGTGGCGGGCTGGGGCAGCTGCTGGCAACTATAATTGCACGGTGTTTACTCAGGCTGAGTTGTAATGAGGTACTGGAAAGGCTGCTGCATACCCGAGTTTCTTACCTGGCAGCTGGACATGTGTTGATCTGGAAGAGAAATTAGCTGCATATGTGGGCAGTCTGCTCGTAAGAAAGGACAGAAATCTTTCTTTAACTAATGCAATATGTCTGGACCTGGCTTTCCTTGCAGCAGGGCCTTGAATAAAACCTTAGCAGAGCTAAGATCCACACAAGTACATCAGTGTGATAAGGCAGGTTAGCATCAACATGAAAATAAGCTTTTAGAAACATTGCTGAGGCTGAATTTAAAAGGCTGGTTGGGGGAGTGAGAGGAGTTTCATAGATGTCCCAAACAAGGATGGACTAGTGTACATTTACTGATCGCATCTGTAAAGCAGTTTAACTTTACAAGCTTGTTACTCTGGTTTATGGGTTGTAAATGGGCTTTCAAGAACAAAACCAAGCCTCATCACTGTGATGGTTACTGATGTGATGTCAGTTCTTTCCTGTCCATTTGAATGAAGTCAGAGGGGAAAACTAGTGTTTGATAAAGTTTACTAAACTGTGTTAGTAGTTGGCTCTAGTATTGTTAATGAAGGCAGATGCTTACCTTTACGTAGTAGTAGTAAGTTGTTGACCTGCAGCACAAGTGCTTGGGTTCTATGCAATTCCTTCCAGCCATGTTCCCTCCAAGAGTTTAAATAGTAGGTCTCTGCTAATCTAGCTTGCCTTGCATGAGATAGGATAGGGGCTCTCCCAGCAGGTACAGACCTCCAGCCTGAGTCAAGGGCATATTGTCTAACCCGATATGGTAGCAGAAGTGCATCACTCTCTGCCTTAGTGCTGTGCTTGTGGCCTGTGCCACAGGAGATGGGGCACTGCCCTCCAAGGAAGGATGTTTCTGCTGGGCTGCGCAGAGTGTTATAGGATACAGTGCTTCCTTCTCCTTTTTCCTTCAACTTCTGGTGAGGTTTGGAGTCTAGCTTTTTCTCTTCTATGTTGGGGAGGAGCAGATGTTTGTCATCCTTCCAACAGAAGCATGGATCCTGACAAATCTGGCTGCGTGCTCAGCATTAATAAGGAGATAATTCGTGTTCTTGGACAGGAGTAGCACATCTCTGCTTACAGAGAAGCAACAGGGACTGTTGTGGTGATGCAGGCAAGGTGGGCTAGAACCAAGTCCTTGGGTGATGGCTCTCTCCAGTGGAGCAGAGCTAATAGATAAGATGGGCACAAAGCAGTGGATCTGGATGACAGGGCAGACCCAGGAGGGACTAGCAACAGGATAACTGTGCAGAGGGCTGCAGTCCTGGTGCTTGCAGCAGATCAGGCATATTAAAATGAGAGCATCTTAGGGATGGGAACCAGCCTGGTTGCATAGGAGAAGCTCATAAATGTGTCCTGTTTGTATGAAATTGTGATTCCAGGTGGTGAAATAGAACAGATTTGTAGCCATAGAAAGGGAATGATTGAGGGTTGAGTGTACTTCAGGAAAGAGCTGGTTTATGCAAGCACTCATGATTCTGGGAAGACACATTGCTGATGCTAAGGCTGCTGAACTAAGCAGAGAATGGTTTCTGTGCCTTTGGGGTACAGAAAGCCTGGAAGAGCTGTGAACATAGACTCTTTATGTTAGTTGTTGCTGAGTCTGTGCTTCCCACAGTGGTTCGCAGCTATGACTGGCTTTACAAGCCTGAGAAACTCTGCTAAGCACCCTGACTGGGGGCAGAAGTTCAGGTGCAGCCTCACTTATCTTGGGATGTGCTGCCAACTCATTCAGCTCCTCTCCTGTTTCTGTTCCATCCTGTTTCTTCCTGACTGCACACTCTGTAGGGGGGCCCTAATCTGCAGCCCTGACCTCTAACAGTTGGTGCTATGCTTCTGATAGCAGCAAATGTGAACTTCTCAAAACATGGAGCTGGGGAGGTTTTCTCGGCAGGTATTAATAGCTTCTGGCACTTGCAGTCTCTCAGAAGACTGGGAGGAGCTGCTTGTTTATGCTGTGAAGCAGAGAGCTCTGCAGAGTTCCCATTCTTGGCTGCAGCTTCCAGTACTTCCCTGCTATCCCAGCACTTGCTGCTGTGTCTCAGAGGGCAGTTATGGGTTATTCCAGAGTGTGCTCTTCGGCACCTGCGTCACTGCTGGTGACAGTGGAATATCTGTAATGGATCTGAAACCTGTCGGCAGCTCACTGGTCACCAGCGAATGGCTACAGGCACTGGTGATCCGTTTTAATCCCTCAGATGGTTGCCTGGCTCCAGTGTTCCGAGACCTGGGGTTCATCTGCTGTCTAATTGCTGTGGCCAAGCTCTGGTGTGAGCTCAGCCTTGGGCTTTGTTTACTTTTCACATTACAAAGCCAACGGAGAAGGCCCAGCTTGACATCAGAGCCCAGCTCTGCTGGGCTTTTGTGCTTGCTTGCTAAAAATAACCCCTGCAAGGCCTGCTTTGTAACTCGAACAGACAGGCAGGAACAGTGCCTGCTCTACAGGGCAGGGGATTCAGGTAGAGTGTGGAAAAGGTGCCCTGCCTGTTGCTCCACAGGGAGCTTTGGTCGGAGCCAGAAACTTGGGTCTGGAATTCCACTCCGGGGCTCCTGCTGTCTCGATCCGCTGCGGTTGGAAGCAGTCAAATGAGTGCTTGTGATCTGTAGTTGGGCTGTCCCTTGGCTCTGGTTTACAGCTCCTCTGTGGAGACGTGGTAACTGCCAGCGTGACTGCTCCGCCTGCGATGGAACGTGGCCGTTTCAATGACTCCCAGTGCTCTTCGCTGTGGGTCTGTTTTACCTTGCAATGAAACTGCAAGGGCACTTTGTGCAAGGCAAGGGTGGTGGAGTCCCAGGGAGGTAGAAACACGAGTGCTTCTCTGCTGGTGTTTTAGCTTCTTGTCAGCACTCGAAGGCAGAGCGCAGCGGCTGGTTTGTGTGCACTTGCTGCTTGCACCTTCCTTTCTTTAGGTAAGGCTGTGCAAGTCTTCCCCATCTCATTCTCTTTGTGTTTGCTTTGCCATTACTTAAAACTTTCCGAAGCCCGTGTGGGGAAAATGCCCTTGAGAGTCTGATTCACTGGTATAAAATAAGGGTGGAAAGAAGTTGAAGGTTCCTGTTTAACACTAGTCTGCTACCTGCTTTGGAAAACAACATACTGCTTTATTGTGTTGGGTTTAGTTTGGATCAAGTTTGTGCTGCTTCCTCTCTGGGGGATCTGGAAATTAAAAGGAAAGCCTGACTCTGTAGGACAGCACAGGTTTAGACTGCACCAGTGGCTCAGCCCAAAAGCGTACCTCAGGTGTGGTATGCTACAGACAGGGGCTTCCAGCTCTTCGTTGACCTGCTCCCCCTTGAAGGCCTTGCTAAACAAAGCCT